GAAAAAAAAGAAAGGCGGAAGCAGAGTCTGGTGATAGCGACGAGGGCCATTCTGATTCCTCGTTGGAAAATAATAAATACTTAATTTTCAAAGTCGAAAACTATTCACGGCAGTATCCCGAGGAAGGCGGTAACTTTGAATATATAGTATTATACGAAAGTGTTGACTCAGGCAAGCCCATAGGTGATAGAGATCTTATGTCACTTGGGACTGCTTTAAAACGACAATGTAAAGGAATAAAAAGATTCCAAAGAATAAACAAATACAAGATAGGTGCAATATTTGAACGACCGGGACTAGCTAACTTAGCGCTAAATAATCTAAAAATTCAAAAAGACTTGCAAGTGAGAGCCTCTATCCCAGCTGCTCTTACTGAATCTACTGGTATAATAAGAAATGTACCTACTTATATGTCCAATGAAACCATTTATTCAGGTTTGACCAGCTCCAAGGATGTAGTTTCAGTGCGCAGATTTATGCGGCGTGGAAAGGACGACGATGGCAAACCAACGCTATTTCCAACACAAACGGTAGCTATCACATTTGCTTGTCCAATATTGCCAACGCATGTTGATATAAATTCATGGTTCTTTGATGTAACTCAGTATGTTAAGCCAGTATCACAATGCCTTAAATGCCTCAGATACGGTCATATAGCAAAATATTGCAAAAATTCTCAGAGATGTTCAATCTGTGGTGAAGGCCATTCTTATAGAGATTGCAATAAAGACAGTAACGAAGCCACTTGTGTAAATTGCAGTGGCAAACACATAGCAATTTCTGCCCAATGCCCCATCAAAAAGAAGAAAATACAAGAAAACCAAATAAAACAAAAAACTGTACCATTTGTTAATTTATTTGACAATAATGCTTTCCCTATTTTGAATAGTAAAAGACATAAAACTAGTATCTCTAATTCAGAAAATATTTCCGGATATTTAGAATCTGATGAATGTTTAAATATCCTTATATCAACAATTGTCAAAGTCATACATGAAAATAAATTAAATGAAACTCCTATAAATTCTGAAAGTATTAAAACCATTCTTCTGACAAACATGAAAGAAAATAAATTAACATTAAACAAACAATCACTTACATAGGAATTCCCTTACCTATTTATTTTTTATGGATCACACGTCTATAAGAATAGTACAATGGAATGCTCAGAGTTTGCTTAATCATAAACATATTTTTTCACAGTACCTTTATGAAAATGAAATACATATTGCTCTTATATCTGAAACTTGGTTACAGAGTACGAAATCTTTTAATATAAAAGGTTATAAAATTGAAAGATTAGACATTGGTTCAAAACATAATGGTGTTGCTATCTTAATTAAAAATTACTTAAATTATCAAAGAATACAAACATATTATGATAGTTCCTTACAAAATATTGCTATCACATTACAAATCAATAATGAATCCCTAACTATAATTAGTTTTTATAGCCCTTCTTCTGCTACCCCTTCAAATTTTAATTACGTATATTTGGACAATCTAGTGAAATCTGTACCAAATCCTTTAATATTAGCTGGTGACTTTAATGCACATCACACTATGTGGGGTTGTACATCAACTGACACTCGTGGTTCTACTCTGTTGGATGTTATAAATGATAACAATCTATGTCTTTTAAATGATGGATCAGTAACAACAGTTGGTTCCCACAACTGGCGACCAAATGCTTTAGATTTGACAATAGTTTCTCCCACTTTAGCTTTAAGATGTAACTGGCAGGTGCACGATGACCCCTTATGTAGTTACCATCTCCCAGTCCTTACTAGTCTATTACTGAATCCTGTAAATAATAATAATAACAATTGTGGTGTAAATTATTTTAGACCAAATTATAGAACAGTAGATTGGAAAAAATATACTAAATTGGCAGATATAAAACTAAGTGCATGTGCTTTTGATAAAAACAATCCAGATGTGTGTTATGAGATGCTAATTAATAATTTACTACAATGTGTATCTGATGCAAATCTTTCAACTAAAAAATCATTTCAAAATATACAATACAAAAATAAGAAGAAATTAAATCTGCCCTGGTGGAATGATATTTGCAAAAAGGCTGTGGATAGTTGTAAAAATGTTTATATACAATTTAAGCAAAACCCTACTGAACAAAATTACATTTTATTTAAAAGTAAGCAAGCACAAAAGAAACTTATTATTAAACAAGAAAGACAAAAGGCATGGTCGGTTCTTTGTAATACTTTTAGTCGTCATACTCCTTTGTCAACTATTTGGACTAACCTTAGAAAATTTAATAAAACCTACATTCCTTCATCCAGTGGCATGAACAACAACAACTGGATACAGGCATTCTTAGATAAATACACATCTAATACTAATAGTCAAACTTTAAGTGACAGTATTTGTAATCACATATCAAATGTTGACAATTTTTTTATGAAATCATTTACACTTAATGAACTGTTAAGTGCCATTCATTCTCGAAAGGATACAGCTTTTGGTCTAGATAATATCTCATATAAAATGTTTAAAAATCTCAATTCATCCAGTTTACAAATTGTTCTTAATATTTTCAATCTACTATGGCATAATTTAATAATCCCCAAATCTTGGAAAGTTGATTGTCTTATTCCTATTCTTAAACCAGGAAAAAGTAGTGGTCATCATGACTCCTACCGACCAATAGCATTAACATCCTGTGCAGGAAAATTATTTGAGCAGTTATTGAAGCAAAGACTTGAGTACTATATAGAACATAATCATTTAATATCTTATAATCAATTTGGCTTTAGAAAAGGGCGATCAGCTGTTGAAAGCTTGAGTCACTTATACCTTGATATAAATAATGCTTTTTCTAAGAATAATTTCTTAATTTGTGTTTTCTTTGACATAACAGGTGCCTTCAATAATGTCGACCATCTTGTTTTAGTAAATGAATTAGCATCTCTTGGGTTACCTGCAAAATTAATCAAATGGATTTTTAATTTCTTAAACAACCGTAAAGTTTATGTCAGGTTTAAAAATAATTTATTTGGTCCACAGCAGTCAAACAAAGGTGTTTGCCAAGGAGGAATATTAAGTCCCTTATTATTTATTTTGTACATTTACAAATTAAATAATGTTTTAGGTAATGAAATATGTAATCTCCAATTTGCTGATGACCTCACAGTCTACTGTGCTGGCAAAAGTATTCAAGAAATTGAAAAAAAAACTTAATACTGCATTGGTAAAATTGAAAGCTTACTTTGATTACTTGAAATTAGAAGTTAACCAAAATAAAACTAGTGTGGTAGTATTCAATAAATCTAAAATGTTACTTACCAACATCCTTTATAATGGTATCTCACTTCCAGTTAGTGAAGAAGCAAAATTTTTAGGAGTTATATTTATGAGAAATTTATCATGGGTCAAACATGTTTCAGTTTTAGCAGACAGGGCATTAAAAGCATTCAACATCTTGAAATCATTGGCTTCCACTTATTGGGGTGCTGATCCAAAAATCTTGTTAATGTTATATAAATCTATAGTTCGTGCTCACTTTGAGTACAGCTTTATGTGTTACTCCTCCAATCATCATCTCATTGATAAACTGGAAAAAATCCAAAATAAAAACCTTAGACTCATCACAGGTGCAATGAACACAACACCTATAATATCTATGCAAATAGAATGTAATATTCCCCCTCTATTAATAAGATTCAAATATTTAAAATTTAAATTTATAGTTAAGCTCTATAGAATAAACAATCAACCTCTTTTAAATAAATTACGTCAGAATCTACCCCAAATAACATCTTCATCGAATTCTAAATATCCATATATTTTACATGATCTCAATGAAACAATAACATTTATTAATCAATATAATATTTATTCTGATGAACATTGGGCTTGCTATAGTGGCTCATATGAAAGCAAATTTACCTCAATTGAAACAGTTATAAACACCGCATTGCAAACAAAACAAGATGTTTATGAAATGTTAAATACCTGGCCAGAACACGAAGTAATTTACACTGATGGTTCGAAAAGTGAATTTGGAGTCTCAGCAGCATTTTATCATAGTAAAATGAAATATGGCAAAGGCTACCGTTTACCAGCTATCCTCAGTATATTTTCGGCTGAAGCAATGGCAATTTTATTGGCTTTACAATATATTGAAACTGACATTATCTGTTCTAACAAAAACAATTTTCTTATAGTCTCCGACAGTATGTCTGTACTTAAAGCCCTTAATCGCTCAGGTTTTGAAAATAATAATTATTTACTTTATGAAATCAGAGAAATTTTAAACAAACTGACAATGACAAAACAAAAAGACGTAAAATTTATATGGACGCGAGCACATGTTGGTGTGGCGGGTAACGAAAAAGTCGATTTCCTTGCCCGTCTAACAAACACAACGGGAGGTAATATAAAAGATATACCTGTTTCTTGGCAAGATTTGTTACCTGAATATAGTAATAAAATTAATCAGCAATGGAATGAAGAAAATGTCATAATAACTCAGTCAAAAGGAACCTGGTATGCAAGCATTAATAAAGAAGTTGGACGAAAACCATGGTTTGCCGTCTCCAAGGACTATCTGCAAAGGAAATTTTATACGCAAATAACCAGATTGCGTTTTGGACATTGTAGGTCTAAGGCTCACTTGCACCGTATGCGCATTATAACATCCCCGATTTGCACTGAATGTTCATTACAAGAAGATCAATCGTTGGAACACATTTTCTTCACATGTCCTGCATTCAATTTACAACGTTTACTACTAATAGATCAGCTTTTAGACACTTCCAAGACCATCCCGCCCTCTCTTCAAGAAATTCTATCACACCCAGAAAACTTCATTCCTGTTTATAATTTTATTAATTCTACTGTTGGAGAAATTTAACCAATATTACAGACTTTTTGCGTACATAAAATAAAAGAAAAGAAATAAACACGGAAGATCTGGCAGTATGGCTCAATCGCCTTCGCCTGTCCTTAGCGGACGAAGTTTACTACTACTACTACTTGTAATTGTGTTGTGGTGGTTGGATTTGCATTTTGTAATAATAGAATAATTAGGAAAAATTGTAAGTATAAGACTTGTTCCCTAATTATAAAAATAAACCATCAGTTTTGTATTATTGTTGCACTATTAATAAATTATGTTAATCGAAATATGTGTCAGAGAACTAATTAATCGTTCCATTAGTGTTAATATAACTTCATTCCTTTCATGATTTCTTTCATTTTAGAAATGGAAGGCGCGTACGATGAAATCATTTCCGAAAATCCATTCTTCGTGGAGTTGAAAAATGAATACGCAAATTTATTTCAACATTGTATCGCACAGTCTTGGATAATATGCGTTCCTCGAATAGGAAGTTTGTCCACAAGAGTTTTCACAGTTGAAGATTTCTGTGCTCACATACTCGTTCCTAGTGACGAGTTGCCGGAATCTCACTACAGCACACTTACAGAGAAACAGGTAACAGTAGCCAATAAAGTAATTACTCTAGAAGTCACAAAGAGCTTACCTTTACAAAGCCACATACTATTTGAAGAAACATTCTATACAGAAGATTTCATTAAGTACAAAGTGTGGTGTATTGAATATCCTCTCGAACCTACTACAAATACAGGAACTCATTTGATAACTAAAGAATATCTAACATCAATCAATGATTGTATTGATTTACTATGGACCCAAGCTGCGGGTAGACAAGTACTTGACCAAATAGAACAAAGTGTTCAGTTATTTTTAAAGAATCAACCTTCTTTGCCTATTGCCATTGGACCTCTAAGGGATTCTATAAGTGAGTTGTACACGCAATGCCTCCAATATGCATTACAAAACAGAAGGTTAAGAGAAAAATCTAAAGTTTGTAAAACAGTCCTTGAGAATATTAAGATGGCTGTAGAATGCTATATGCAACAACTATTATTTGAAAGTATATTTAAACCTATTTGTACATCTTGTGCTTATGAAGACTCACATTTAAATAAAAAAATCAGAAATATGTGTGATATTCAACTTAAAGACTTGGATATTAAAAAGGAACTTTTCCATGCAGTACCTAAAGCTAAACAAATACTATCAAAAATTGATACATATAGTACTGTTTTAGAGAAAGTGTTATGTTTAAAGCAAGCACTAAATACAATTAATAAGACTGATAGTAGTAACAATGTGGTTCTTTTAACGGCTGATGATTTGTTGCCTGTGTTTGTTTTTCTTGTAATAAAGTCAGGATTACCAAACTGGTATAGCCAGCTCACTTATATGAAAGAGTTTCGTTTCAGTGGAGTAGGCAAGGGTGATGCTGATGAAAGTGCTTTCCTGATAACTACTTTAGAAGCTGTTATAGAGCATATACAGTCTGGGGCATTATCAGGTCCTCCAGATCCTGAATCATACTATTATGAAAGTGATTTGACTGAAGACAATCTTAATGAGAGACAAAGGAAGAATAGCTTTACTGAATCAATATCGACATCAGATACAAACACTAGAGATGAAACATTAGAATATATATTTGAGCTTATCAAAGCTAATCATACAGAACAAGTTCAAGCAATACTTTTGAGAAATAAAAGGCACTTGGAAACCATTAAAGAACATGAGAGTGAAATTTTGAAAGTATCATTAGACAAAAAATACCAGTTTCATAATGAGGATTATGATGATAACAGTGACAGCGATTCTGATATTTATGAAAAGTTGTGTCATCCATTGTGTAATTGTAAAAAATGTTGCAGTAAGATTTTCAAAAATCTCTTAAAAACCTCTCCAACTGTAACATCTAGAGATAGTCATGGCCTTACACCCTTACATGTTGCATGCATCCATGGTAAAGCAGCTATAGTGGAGTTGTTAATTGAAATGGAAGCAGACATAGATGCAACAGACCTCAACGAATGCTCTCCCATGCATTATGCAGCTTCCAGAGGGCATCAGAATGCACTGTTATTATTACTACATTCTGGAGCTAATATTAATAAAACAAATGTTGATAAGAATACCCCACTGCATCTATGTGTTAATAATGGTCATATGAACTGTGTCAAAGCTCTTATCTATTTTTCAGAACATTCAAGGAAGAAGCTCATGATAAATGCCACCAATGAAAATGGTAATACTCCTTTACATTTAGCATCTAAATGGGGTTATGAGGGTATTGCCAGGTTACTTATAGAAAATGGAGCGGAACCTTCCATCCAAAACCATAACAATAAATCATCATTTGACTTTGCTCATAATTTAAAAATTTTGCAAGTTCTCAAATCTGTCACACCAAATTTATATGAATATATACACATCACAAGTTCAGATGTAACAGTTTTAAACTCTAAACCTGAAAAACTTTTTAACACGAAATTCCAGAAGTTAAAGTTCAAGGAAAATAATGCTAGCAAAACAGTTAAAAACTTAAAAACAATTGAGAGAATCTTTAAAGCAATTTCATATGGTGATGTGAAATTGGCTTGTTTTTATATGAATATTGACTACACAAATTATAAGAATAATAATTCAAACACAACTTTGTGTCATCCTTTGTGTGCGTGTCGGTCTTGCAAGAAAAATAATGAATCACAAACCGATTTCGATGTCAATTTTCCCGACTCAAATGGCTTTACAGCATTACATTATGCTGCAAAGTATGGATTAGATGAGTTATGTAACATCCTTATACTTAATAATGCAAATGTTAATTGTCAAAATAAGAGAGGACAAACCCCATTGCATTTGGCAGCTCTAAATAACAAGACTGTGGTAATTGAAATTCTTACTAACAATGGTGCCAATATAAATACAATAGATTTATCAGGAAACACACCATTACATAACGCTTCTGAAATGGGCAACATTGGAGCTTCCAAAGTACTTTTAAACAAAAACCCTGATATCACAATGCTAAATGGATCTGAAAAATCTGCACTTAGCATAGCCAAAGAGAAAGTTCATTTGACTATTATTGATTTAATAGAAAAATATGCCAATAAGTCATAGTCATTGGTTTTGAAAATATAATCACAGGGTTCTTGGTGTATTTTATTAATTAGGCGATGTATATTTATGTTAAGTTTAATTGTTTTTTTAACTTAATTTAAAGGAAACTATATTTACTATTATGCTACTTAAAAAGTCATTCCATTTTTTTGAAATTACATATTATGGATACTTAAATGCACACTTTTGTAAATTAATTTATTTAAACACCACAACTCGAATAGCCTGAGTTCTAAATCAGGACACGTAAGTTGAACCATGACGGCGATTACGCTGTAGTACATTTTCGAGTCACAATCGAAACCCGCGCGGGAAATAGTGTCCGTCAGACTGGCAACGTCACCCTCTTGGATATTAAAATGAGTTTTTATCCATTTAGTCTATTATTTATCAGTGTTTTATAGAGATGAGTCGAGAAATAATTATAAAATCCAAAAAGGTGGCACTGCCAGCAAGTAACACACGTCGAATTTTTTTAATTTTGGTTCAACTTAAGCGCCGCTCATTATTACTGTTTCTTTTCAATAATTTAAATTTATCAGGATCAGTAATTTAGCCATATGTGTATACCTGTATTCATACAAAATCTTACGCCTTAGTGCCATCTGTATTAATAATTGTAAAAATAAGACTGATTTTTGTTTAACTGTTTCTATACTGGATTGTTATTTTTCTCTGCTACATTTCATAGTTATTTTGTTGTAAAAAAATATATAGAGCACATAATAAAGAATGCAATTCAATCTATGTATTCAGTATTTTCCTAATATTCAATACTCCTAAACATTTTTCTTCACATGGAATGTTAATCACTTATTATTATTATATTTATGTGTAGCTTTTTAAAATGTAAATAATCTCCACATAAAAATAAGTGATTATAATTCAACTTGGTAAACTAGAATGCAAAAATTATTGTGACTGGTAACACCTAAACTTTACGGGCGCTTAATTGGAACTGTGCTACACACCGCTGCAAGTCAGATTACCACAAGTGTCAAATTTCAGCAATGGATTTTGACCTCTACCATCAATAAATTAAGATTTTAAAGCGAGTGGTAAAATTTGGCAGTTTTGTATAGTCCGACGTGAAGTTGACTGTACAGTCAAATTAACCTCAAAGTATGTCACGTGATACAAATCGAAGCCAAGCTACCGTGTGTACATGATCGCACTAAAGTAATTATGAACATAGAAAGATACACAACAGCTTAAACATTTTTTTATATTTATTTAGGTAAATTAAAAAACGCGTTTACTCTTTCATCCAAATATATTAGAAACATACAAACAGATGAACAACAAGATAATATAGTATACAAAAGTAAAATTTCCTTGTGCAATAATTATAATAAATTCGTTAATTTATTTTATTTTAAATTACTCATATATTCTTAATGATATATGTCAACGTGAAATTGTAAACATCAGTATCTTACTACAATTATTATATAATATAATAAAAGAGAGTTTATAAACTGGCGAATTTATAATTTTAAGTTGACATATCATAATTCATCACTAATTAAATATATACATTTATGTATAATTAATTTCTGGTAATTCAATCGATGACAGCTCATTTTCATGCATTACATAATATGGTAATATGGGGTCATTAATTTCTTACGTCAGACGATTATTGGCTATAACCTCTCCCGTCTCTATGTAATAAAAAGTAAGAATTGACTACTTTTGGGAAAACTATTCTAAAACTTTCATATGATATATATCAGATGTGTTTTTCTCCAAAGTATTATGAAATAAAAGAAAAGCATATTTTATTAGCTTATTTAAATTGACCAGCGAAAACAACCTGTTGACGTTTCGTTTACTAAAATGTGATCTCACACGATATGTACTTCGTCATGGCGTTCTTGTAATCCAAAAATGAATTTTACAAATATAAAATATACTTTCAATTTAATTTTAACAAAATGCTACTACATAGTTACTGTTTACACATAAGTTAGCATTTCCAACATATTTAATAATTTTCTACTCGTTTCATGCTTGTAGTATGGCGATCCTTTAAAAAAACTTTTCTTTTGTTTCATTACAGTTCTTTTTTTTTTGTAGATTCATATACATGGTGTAATTAATAAACTTAACTTCGGTATTTGTAAACTGTAACCCTTATTTAAGAAAAAATAAAACATTGTTGTTCCCCCTCCCACAAAATCATTTTAGGCGGAAAATGAAAGCCCATATTACCTTATTAGTCAAAATAGCACAAGCATCCACATATTCCATAGTAATAAACTTACTGTCATAAATGGTTATGTGATTTTCTGCGCAAACCGACAAAGCTCTCTCCCAGCGAGAATAAAAAAAGCTATAATGAATCTAATTTCCGGGTATTGAAAACACTTAACTACGATTTGTTTGTAACTATAATATAATAAAACTGAGCTGTCATATATATTACAATTATTTATAAAAACACATATGCTTACATAATATGAAAAGGAACATTATAGTATGCTAACCTGTGAAGCGAATATTAGTATTATTTAGGCTTGTAAAACTTATTATTATAACACATCGCATAATTACAATCTCATTAATATAATTGTCCTCTCCGGTTAGATGTTTTATTTTAAATTATTCAGAGTCGCCCATTAGTAATATTACATTATTTAACTGGTTTTTTCCTTTATGTTGTCTATTCGCGTGCGTGGTAATAAGTTGTTACTATGATATGTTTTTGCACATTGCGTTGTACTCAAGACACTTGCTAATGTAAATTAGATGACGTCTCCGAATACATCAGTATAACATTGTAGTCAATGTGAATACATATTTTTTCAATGGCTAATTTTGAGTTGCCATGCCAATATCTGGCTTATTATGATAACATTATGACCCTACCTGATAGCCAAGAATTACGTATAGATATCATATTAAAACGGTTTTGTCATAACAATAGTCGAGTTGAACAAAATTGCCTATCATAATACATAATTATGGCTGGATGGTGAATGAAGTATCATTAACCTAAAGGCGCAACTCACCTTGATCAGCAGACCCTGCGGGGGGTGCGTTAATCCATAAAAGGAATCCAGCCTACCTGTTACAATATACAAATATGTTCCCAAGCTAAAAAAAAAAAACAAACTGCATAGTTTCTGCGAAGTATAAGCAGTCTAAATTTTAACACCACTCCTTGTTTTAACGGTCATAGTTTTTATTTCGCGGGTGGTGGGGGAGTTGGCAAGGGAACGCAGCGCTCTTTTGATTTAGTTCGAATCATTACTTGAAGAGGTATGTACGTACGAAATATTAAAGCACGCCGGTCTGTATTCAGAATTACAAATTGTGTTAATGGCTAAGAAAATACTTATTTCAAAGTTAAGAAGCCGCCTACAACAATTTTTTTAGTTATAAAAACCACATCTTTTCCCTCCAAATGTATGGAAAAATGTGTGTTGTTGTAAGTCAATATTTTCTAGCATCTATCACGACGTGTGGACTGCATGTACTATATTTTGTAGTACTAGACGCTGTAGGATAAACTTAGGAATCGGATGGCGACATTTTAAAACCAGCGTAAGAGCAAAGTGGTCATAATCACGGAGGTCGTCAAAAATAATATCCTTTACTCTAAATTAAATAATCAATATTTACAATTTGTATTATTAAGAATGTCTTTATAAAAGTCGCGTTACTGTCATAATCCAGAAAGAAATTATATTCAAAATTAAGCCTGACCAGGATGTATAAATGACAAACCCCAAGAACGCTCTGTCTACACCAAACGCCACTTTTCACTCATTTCGAGAGTGAGATATCGTATTAGCGCACCTGAACAAAGTGACATTTGGGTATAGACATGCAGGGAATTGAACTAACATATTATTATTATATATATAAATACTTAAAAGAATACCTCCTACCGATAATTATAACCATTTCAGAATAGCACCATCATACAAACAATAAATTCTACAAACAAATACTTGTCACTTAAGAAGGAATGTCAATTGCACAGATAAAAAAATTATATTTTAATATTATAAAAACATAAAACACAATTTTTAATTTCACCACAGAGGATCAATTTCATATATTAACATGAGACTTATGAAAACTAACACATCGTTCTATAACAAAGTACGAGTATGAGATATAAAATGCTGATTAAATAGTTTCCTTCGAAGCAATGAACATTTGTGTTAGTAGTGTATCAATAAAAGCTATTCCTACCTTACACTAAAAAATCACTCTTTTTATGCTGCTGTTCTATTAAAATCTTTGCAATCGAGTGTAACATGTAACTTTTCATCCCACTTCAGTTCTGAGTAAAAAAAAAAAAACAAATTAAAAAAGGTTATATGATAAAGTCAGCACCATGGAGGTGGGTAAATAGGTTTAATGATGACATCCTCCATGATGTCTCAGTTCTCTAGCGAATAAAAACTGCTTTTGAGCTCAGATATCGAAAAGCAAAAATACTCTTATCGTAATAGGGGGATGAAAAGGTTATTACAACGATAAAAAGTTAAACTATATGGCAATTTTTATAGTGTTATTTGGTCCCAAAGTATGTAAGTGGCATTGATGAAACGCTTAGATTTTAATCTTGATTATTTAATAAATATTTAACTCTTAATAAAAATAAATAATAAAAAAATTCATATAAATATTATTATTTTACAATTTTTAAGTGATTTTTACTTACAAGAAACACTGATATTCTATGAGTTGTATTACACAAGCGTTGATAAAATTATTATAAATTGTATATCTTTACTTATATAAGCGAAAAGATTTGTATTTATTTGTTGAATGAGTAAACTCAAAAAAACTTTCACCGCCATTATTATTAAGTACAGTTTTATTCCAAAGTTACTATGCGAACTAAGGATACAGAGTGTAGCCTTATCTATAGTTTATTCCTAAGGCTGGCAACTGACAATGGGCCTTATTACGCTTTCCATAGACTGTATCGTATCCGCGTGTATCGGCAGCCCTAAAAGCAGACTACAGTATTATTAATTAATTATTTTATGCACTAAAAAAACGAACACTGTACATTAATAAAATTTTGCAGAGATCTATAAATAGAACAAAAATAACTTACTATCGAACTCTCCTTAAGACTAGTCTTAACATTTATACAAGACATTCGTGTCACAAAACATTTGTGCGTCCGAATTATCCATAAAATTAATTTCCATATAATTATGATATCTAGCATTAATCTCACTGCGGAGGCAAACTCCAAATTGGCATTTCCTCTTTCTTCTTCTCTTTCTTTTTATAATGATGTTTATCTCTCAGTCTGACGTCGTCTTGTCTCGCTCGCTCTCTCGCATCATTCCTCCAATCGTTTGTCTTCTGCGGTGACCCGTTCATTTTTTTATATCTATTTTTATCTTCATTTTCATCGACGTATACTTTGCTTTTAACGAACAATTCGTTTCTATCCGGATCGCATAGTTCTGACGGTATGACGTCATCATATTCAATATCCTCATTGAACTCGGCAACGTCGTCCCGACTAAACACGAACGAGTGCGGATAGTATTCTTGTAATATGTCCTCTTGTCGGTATTGCTGCATTTGTAGCCATACGTGAGGCAGTAACAAAGGGAATCGACGCAGCCAATACGTGACAAAACCGTCTGGCAGTTTACCGAGTTTGTTGCGCACCTCCGCTTCCAACTCCCTGTAGTGATGTTTCTGTAGTGAAAAAGATTCCTTGAGAATCTATGTAAATAAAAGATATTAAATAAGAAAACGATGACATTTTCAATAATATTGGGGCTTAGATTATTTATTATCCAGATACCGTGTCCCTTACAAAATAGTGAAGCCGTTTGAGATTTGTGTGTGCGTGAGAAAAAAGCAAAGAGTATGTATTAATTTTCAAATGCAGATATCATGTTAATTCGTATGAGTTACATAATAGGTTAGCTACATTTATATTTTATAAATATATAATACATTAATTTCTGAGTAATAATGTAGAAGCAACAGAATGTCTGCGATTAATAGTGTGACAGTGACGTTTCTGGCGTCGTCCAAGAAACACGTGTTCTTATCGCTTCTTTGTACAGGAACAGTTGTTATCGAAAATATCATGTTCTTCACGGAAAAAAAATCATATATAACCTTGGACGAGAGCAGAGAATCCGAAAAATAAAAAAAAATACGATTCTATATAAAAATTTAACAAACATGTAGCAGGTAACTATAACCTTGTTTTAAAACAAAATAATCTATAAAAAATATTCTTCATTTTCAATTCGTTGAAATTACTGTATTTGTATTTGACTGTACCTCTTTGCACGTACATAAATTTACTATTATATGTACAAGAATAACCTACAAATACCGAGTTGATTATACTGTAATAGCTGACCCGACGAACTTCGTACCGCCTTATACCCGTTTTAATTTTTAAATCTTATATACAAACCGTGTCATGAATCGTGGAATACATAAAAAATACAATCATCCAATTTGGTGCAGTCGGAACTTGAATTCTGAAGTTATGCGCGTACATTCGACCATTAATTTTTATTCATCGATATTTAATAACTCGCCCGGAGATTTTTATATTTCGATGACTTTTTTTTTATATAGTGTAAAAGGTAATTTTGATCTACATTACATGCATAACATATATTACTTAATTAGTTGAATAAGGATCAATACTGTATTGTTAAAAATAGGTTCGTAAATAACCCAGCATTTTACTGTTTAGTATATATAAAAAAATGGTTACTGTGGGTTATCCTTGGAATATTGACATACCACTGCGGACTTTTTTGTAGATCTATTACGAGAGGTACAATTCCACCATACAATGATTTGTTATAACTCAAAAGTGTCTGGCCAACGTTTACGAGGAAAGCTTCCGATCGGCTTTACTTTTTCCGACAATTTGAACTAATATCGTTGTAATATAGTCAGTTTGTATAAAACCTAAACTTACTATACACTAAAACCTTCTTCGAGAACTGCTCAATACTCAAAACTCAATACTCAACTGTTTATTGCAATGCATAGTGTTACAAAATAATAATATCAGAATTAAACTATGGACCCTGTCGGGCACAGCAACACTTAAGAGAGAGAGAGGAGGACTTGATATCAAAAATAAAATAAGTGATCTGGAAATTTAATAATAATCATTGAAGACAAAATTCTACAACATCGAAGACAAAATATAAAATGATAAGTTAATTAATTATTATTAACAGTCATATAATTTTATTTATAATATAATATCCATATAAATGAAATAAGACAAGTTTATAAATTTCATATTATTTTGCAATATTATCATTTGTATGAAATTGATTGATTGATTTGTATTTAATTTATTATTGTTGTTAAAATATAATGTAATTTAATAATCATATTACTCTGCTCTAACTATTGTTGAAAACCGCATGAAAATCCATCGCGAACAGACAAACAGACAGAAGCGGCGGTGAATATTGTTTTATAATATGTATAGAATGGTACCTTATTCCTAATGGCGCGCAATAGGTGGGCGGCGCGGTCGCCCCGGTACGTGCGCCTCTGGCGGAGGTCCCCCGCCACCGCGCCGCACACGTGCGCCCTCCAGTCGCCCCTCAGTACCACCCTGGCGCCCCTCTCTAACGGGTGCGTGTTATCCACCCGTATACTACTTTCCACCTGATCGCTCACGTCCTTCACAATACAATTTATTTGGATAAATTTTTTATTGGTTATTTTTAATGTTAATTAGTCTGTACTAACGTTTGTTTACAATGAATAGTCTCTGAAACTTTTAGACAGATTTTAAAAATATTTCACCTACAGGAAGGTACAACATATGTGGTGAAAATAGGTTATATTTTATCCCGAACTGCAAATGAAGGGATGAAAATGGATTTGGAAGTTTGTATGGGGAATTAAGCGTTGCTATAGTAACCATTGTTGACTATTCATTTTGTCATTGTAATTATATCCGTGTCATTAAGATATGAATCGATATCCGAATAAACAGTTCCCTGGGGACCACGCGGGCAAAGCCGCTGGCGGAAAGCTTGTTATAGTATATTAGTTTATTGACTTTGACACTAGCACAGTTTACCACATCGACGCTGGAAAGCAAACACGTAGTAACGTGCAAAACCAAAATTGTTCTTCAGAGCAGAAAAACTTTTATTTTTTTCGATAAATAATTCCTATAAAGTCCATGGTAACAAATAAGGTGTTCCTTAGTCAATTTATACGGAAATATTTTTTTTTTTTTTAAATATAAAGATTTTTCACTTTAAATATCCATTTTGGTTTTCCAGGTTACTACGAGTTTGCTTTCCATCGTCGACATATTTATCTACTAGCTTTCGCCAACGGCTTCGCCCGCGTGGTCCCTAGGGAAATGTTTAGTAGGATAAAAAAGTATCCTATTATCTAAGTCAGCTAATATCCTATCTGTATACCAAATTTCATCAAAATCCGTTCATTAGTTTCCGCGTGATTGACCGACAAACATCCAAACAAAGAAACTTTCACATTTATAATATTAATAGGATTACATACAATTAAGGAGTGGATCTGAAGTATACAGATTTTATGTCATATAAACTTCATAGAAAAAGACAAGACAAGACCATTAGAGATGCGCCAAATATTCGTTTGGTATTCGCCGTGTTCGGCATCATTTTCAAGATTAGTATTCGGCAGAATATGTTCGGTTCGAGTTTTTCTTTTTTCTTGATTACACAACACGCTATAGTACTAAAAGACAAAACTTTATGTAAGATTTAAGTTATAAGTCAAAGAAATCCTATGAAGAATATGTTCAATAAAGCTAATAAAATAAAGCAATTAAACTTCACATCAACATTTGTTTTTATACCTTTTACGCGGCAAACAATGAAATAGTAAACCGAATAATTCAGGCGAATATCCGTTGCGGTAAATGTCAAACCGAATATATTCGGTGAAACCACTACATATTCGGCGCATCTCTAATGACCATATTAATATCTAATACTAGCTTTCTCTTAGTGGCTTTGCTCGCGTGGATTTCCCGTTTATGCACCATTTTTCATTGCTGCTCTACTCCTATTAGCATGATATTTTAAAGACATCATCATCATCGTCTAGTAATGTCCCTAATGCTGGATCGACGGGTATTAACGACTGCCGATACAGCCGGAACCAACAGCTTAACGTGCCTTCCGAAGCACGGAAGAGTTCAAAAAAATAAAAGTTTGGTCACCCATCCTATGAACGGCCATTGCAAAAGTGACTCCTCAGGCTTTATTCTAACAAAAATCATTTTTACAGTTCAAACCAGTACTTTGAATTAATCTTGAGACAAAAAATTGTTTAAGCAAGTTCTAAACTTGTTGGATAAATCATAAAATATATTAAATTTGCAATTTATTTATCAGCAGTTGCAGGTTAATACACCCAAACCCTCACTTGTCTCATGATTTCAAAATTTATTCAAATCTCAATTCACTTTCAATGCTCAAAAATGGGACAAAATACAAAATCTAACAATAAGCACCTAAATTAATGGTAAATAGGTATTATTTAAATTTACCTGCAAAAAATTAAGTATTGTCTGACTTCCCCAAAACATGGGATACTTGAGCACGGTCTCGCAAGGAGGGCGTGCGTGAGGCCGCGAAGATATCATCGATCTGATCAAGATCTTAGTTACCAACACCTCTTCCTCTGGCAACACTTTACTAAAAAATAAAACCGATTTGTTAATTTGGTAGCAACATTGGCCGGAAGTATCTTAATTACTCAAAATTTGAGTTTTTCCTAGTAATATGAACGCGAAGTGCGAACGGTTAGTTTTTTTTATTTCAAAATTTAATGCTTATTTGCACGTAATAAGAATATTTAATAAAACAATCTCAATCTTTATTTTGCACTTTTGATTTAAAAGCTCAAATATTAAATAAAGCCACTAGCAGCTATTTTGATATTTATTATAAATATCGGATTTTTACGAACACTGGTTTTAAAAAATCTCATGAAGAAAACTTACTCCAATTGGTTTAAATTATAGTCCCCAGTGAGAATGTTGGCTTGCCGTCTTAACACGTCACCAAAAGGATGATGTCCCTTAGATAGCACATAATAGAAAACGCAGCCCAACGAGAATATGTCCACGGAGGTAGTCTGTGAACAAAAGATTATTGATCTAACATTCTTACTCTTACGCTATAAAACCGGCGATGTAATATAAGGGCAGTGGCTTGTGGATTCTTCTATAAAAATCAATATAATAACTAAATGATATACTACATAAAGGCTACAAAATGTATACTATGGTTTCAAAGAAATACTGTTTTTTAGTGATGAATAAGGAATTAAGTCCGCTTTTAATCTCTATTCATTCTTTGTAATAAAGAATGAATAAAGATTAAAGGTTAATTAATATGTATAAAAAAGAAATCACAATCACAAGAATAAAGATTCTTTCTATATTGCTTTTTTTTTCTTGTAAATTCTGATGTAATTATTATAAGTAACCTTACATTTATCGTAACTTAGTGCAATCTGGTGCTCATACTAAAGTGAATTTAGGGAAAGGAACTGAATCCTGATATTTGTATAACCTATTAGGGTCAGTTGTGATTTATATCGTCTATAATAATTGCCTTATATAACTTATTACATTAAGACCTATTACAGCATATCAACTGTTCAAATGTATGTTTTATTTTATATTATTTTTGGCATGAATAAAGAATTATTATAGATCAATAGATATATAACGACGAATCCTGGGGGCTAAGTAATTATCTAATTTACAAAAACGTTCGCAATCCCTTTCAATTTGACATTTAAATATATTCACGAACTTCACGGTACAACTATTTGACGTATGATAGCAATCGCGACTGTTTTATGAAAGATATTGAATGAATATCGTAAACTTTAGATAATAATAATAATAATATAATAATATTTTTTATTGGAACTTTACACTTTACAGGTATTATCGTGTACGAAAGCAGCCGCTTTAGTTTAAAAACTGAGTTGCAGCCACAAACGCCCACCTTCATTGTATAAAGAACAACGTTCCACTCGACGTATTTATATAATTCAAGTTTAGAATTAAATTAAATAGCATGCATTCTTATCATTACTACTGTGTGTGTAGAATGTTAGTGTATATGAAAGTATGAGTATGTGTATATGAGTGTAAGTTTGTGTGTATTTGTATTATATGTTATGTTTTTGTGTATTTCTTTTATACAAACTGCGATGAATCACTATATGTCTGTTTACAAGATGAAAATATATTTGAAAGATATTGTGAAATGGCAAGAGTTTTATTATGTTTCCCGATCATTCAAATCATCATTCGTTCCAAACACGATTGTAACTTTAAAATTTATGAAAGTCCATTAATAAAATTCAATCGCATCGCTATACATTTGGAAGGGATTACGATATATGTTGAAATTACACAATTAGCCCACTACTTAAAGTGCCGGCTTACCGTTCGTTCTCCGTTAATCATCTCTGGTGCTATCCATCCGTCGGTGCCAGTTACACCAGAACGGCGAGAGAAGCTCACCCTGCCTATATTGAGCTTCTTGGACAGACCGAAATCAGAGATCATAGCTCGCACCTCCCCCGAGCCCGAAGGCATCGACAGCAACACGTTGTGGGGTTTTATGTCGCGATGAACTTTAAAAAAAAAGTTTTTTTTTCTATTAATTAAATTTTATTGAAAGAATAAGAAAGTTATTATTAGTCGTTCGTTTGCTGGCCGTAGACAACCGTTACTAAATGACGTCATAAGCACAACGGGCAAAATAACGGCAACAGAAATATAGCTGTGTTTCATGTAAAATATATATAGAAAGTAGTTTTAAGACATATGTATGTAAGATTATATGATACCACCTCAGATTATATTTATTCCTGTAGTATTAATATAATTTAAATTAATGGCATAAGCTAATTAAATGAGGTGAAGTTTTAGATAAGTATGATAAGAAAGGTTCTCTTTAAGGTATTGCCTCGCTGAAGGAGATCATATAGTTCTCTGTACGGTATTGCCTCATTGAGAGAGGTACTATAGTGATAAAGTCAAAGTCAAAATAATCTTTATTCAAATAATTATATATTCAGATAATTGTTTACCTACCCTACATGTTACAAAAAGTGTGGTAGTACGGATGGCGCTAGTCTACGCGGGATCTTCCGTCTCGCTCTGACCACATAAATACTTCGTGCAAGATCGCGGCGCACCTTAGTATGAATACGAAGTACGAGGGTGCCGTCTTGCACGATAAGATACGTGTTAAGTATGAATGTTTAGTAAAGTAAAGAACAATGTTATAATATAAATAAGTAAGACAATAAAATGATTGTGAGTAACGCATAGATGTTAAGAGTGAGGAATGGCTTCGCAAAGTAGAAGAACAATATATGATATGATAATAAACTGCAACGTTCTTAGGTCACGGGCTGAAGCTAAGAAACAATGGTAAAGGGTTCCATTTTTTCTTTTGGACAAACCCTAAAAAAAAAATTGAAATTTATCATTCGTCTAACGTTAGATTCTACATGTGATGCCTTTTATAATTTTCTATGTAACCAGAAGCCGCAATATGATTAAATTATTCGTAGACTCACCAATATCCATTGAGTGTAAATGCGACAATCCCATTGCTGCTTGTCTAAGGACTTCTACAGCGTCAATCTTACACTCAAAATTTAACTTTTTCTCTACATAATCTTGTAATGTGGCCGAACAGAGTTCAAGTGCGATATACCTAAATAATAATAATAAAATCTTTATTTGCAAAATATGGTTATTTAAGTTGTTAACAATTTTTAAATACCCAGCATATTTTGTCGTCAGGACGACGTGCAAATATTACAAGTTATTTTTAAAAAGAAATATAAAAATTTCAAAATTAATAATATTTTGATGGGTGACCAAAAATGTATTATCGGCAGCTACTCTGTTCTTCAAAAAGCACGCTTAGCCAATAGGCTGCATCTGCAGACGTTAATACCCATCAATCCGCACTGGACTAGCGTGGTAGATCATGACATTATTTCTATTTCCATTTATAGTGCAAGTCTGTGCCCCATCAGTGGAGACATTAATGATAATGAAATTTGTATATATCTAAGATTATTCTTAGATATTATATTATAATAATATCGTAGATATTATAATACCTGGAATATTAAATCAAAATTTAAACTTTTTTAAAACCTGCAAAATTGCTGTACACCTATGCATTCGGCTATTTTTAAACTTAAGGCTTAACAATTAACATTAAAAGCTTATTACCTAAATTGTTTATCTCTTTCTGTGCAGTAGTATCGCACGACGTGCGCGTGGGCGTCCGATTCCCGCAGAAGCGCCACCTCGCGGTCGGCGAACGTAAAGCATTCGGGCAGAAGACGTTTGACGGCAACAGCTCTCTTGTCAAATGTACCCCTAAATAATAATATTAGTTTTCAAAAGACATGGCTAAGGGATTGACTCTAAAGCGCATAGTACTTTTAAAATACAAAATATTAGAATTAATTATATCGTCTCTTTATTCTGCTAGAATCAAGGTGAAGTGATCAATTATTTAAAAGTCTGTTAGTTCTTTTTTATATTTGGTTCGACAGTGACAATATTCTTTCTTTCCAAAAATTCATACATTTAAACCACTCTTTAATTCATTTGTAAAATAACCATAAAATTACTAATGCGCCTGGCCGCCATTTTAATGACTCAGTTCAGAATCAGTTGACAGTTGTGTTAAACACTTAGTACCGTTAGTAAATAAACACCGAGTTGGCAAATACGCGTACTGATATATATATAATATATTTTCGTTTTTCTCTTGAAAAAGGTACAGAGTACAAATACCAGGCAGTATCGGAGATATTGAATTGGTTTGCCATACCTGTAAACGAAAGTTCCTTCGCACCCTTTGCCCAGTACTTGTCCCGTGTGGAAGCTTATCTTCCCTATGCGCACTTCTCCGTCTCCAATCTCCTCGAGATATCCAGTGATCTCTGCATTGGATGACGTAGACGAAGTCGAAGAACGAGAACCGCCTTGAGACAACTGTTGGAATTCACGTGCCTGGAAACAGACAAAAAAAAGTATATTAATTACTCTCAAACTTAGGGTCATAATTTCAAATTTGGACAGGTATCTGAGGTGGTATTTTTTTATTTTTATATTTTATTACTTAATTATTTGAGCGTGTATTCAATAAATATTATTCTATTCTATACTATACCATAATAAAATCGCTTAACTTGTATCATCGTTTAATTAGAACAAAACATTTATGTCGTTGAATTTCCCATGTAACGAATTATTTGCATATTTTTTTCCAAATTATGACTCATCACTTATATGATGCAATCTATTTTGATATGAGTTAATTTGTGTGTGTTGTGATATGAGTGAATGAGTTAATTTTGATATGAGTTAATTTGTTACAAGCTTTCATTTAATTTGAGTATAATATTATCGTTCAATTCTTGCAACTGAATTTAATAGCAGTTATTTATCCATAAATTGATTAAGCTGATATTTGTATACAGGTTTCGTTTAGATGATAAAGCATGGTGACCTAAGTAATATTATTTTAAATCTAAGATGGCGGAAGGCCGAAGTTGACGACCTAGTTATTTTCTATGTACTGTCCTGTGATAATTGTCTAGTTTTAAGATCTATCACAAACCCTTTCAAACATATAGTGGTTGTGATAGTGATTTATGAAATTCTGTAACTTTTAAAGACAGTCGCTTTTTGAACGAATGATTTGAACGATATGAATATCATAGACAATCCATTTCGAAGATATTTGTAACTATTCATGGCTTAAACAATTACAATTCAAAATAAACATTATTTCAAATTTTTCTAAAAGGAAAACGTCACGAACGCAACTACTATCACGTGTCGAACAGTTGTAACGTGAAGTTTATGAACATCTCTCAAATGTCAAATTCAATGAGACTGTGATAGATTTTAAAATTATACAATTAAGCAACAGAATGTAATAAATGTTGATTCTATATCCAATCTGTGTTCCGTCCCTATTCATTGGTTCAGAGTGACCATCCAAGATGGTAGACCAAGCTCCATAATATGGGTCTCATATGTGCAAAATTGTTACACTTTCGGCATCCCCACATGAGGAAATTTTGCAGTACCCACGCATCATCATCCTATAGATGGAATCCAATCTATTAAATAGAGAGAATAGTCGATATACCACCACGCGACCCAATGCGGATAAGTTTTAAGTAGAGCGTATGCTAACGAGACCAACGGCTTAACTCGAAAAGGACGAGATTGAAAATGTTCGATCACCAATCATCAACTAAGTAACTCGGTGGCGTAGTGGGTAAGTGCCGCGGCCCGCGATCGTTGTCGCTAAGCAACTTTCGCAAGGGTCGATCACGGGATGGGTGACCGAAAATTATTATCTAGCTACTCCGTGCTTCGGAAGGCACGTTAAGCCGTTGGTGCCGGTTGCATTTGCAGTCGTTAATACCCTTCAATCCGCATTGGGCCAGTGTAGACGGTCATAGCCCATCCTCCTTAACCATCCATAAGGAAGGTCTGAGCCCCTGCAGTGGGAACGTAAAAGGGCTGATGATGATGATGACCCATCCTATTTGTTCATCTCATTTGATTATTGCGTAAGTTGCTTATATTATAAGAAATGGTTTATTACCGATGCGATAAGAAGTGAATTATTAAAATTCAAATTCTTGCTAAGACATGCTACATTATAAGAAAACATTTAATATTTTTAAGTATGTACTACATATGAGAAGCTGTAAATACACTATAAAATATTTACATTGTTTTCTGTAACTAACGTATTCAATTACATACATAAAAATAACTGTAGATAAAGAAGTATGTAAATGCAATTTCTATTACGTAAACGCTGAGCATTTTAATTTTCCACAGCCCATATACATTCTACATTCAGAAAGTGCGATTAAGCAGCTAGTTACAAGAATGTATGTAATTAATTAAAACCGAGTTACCTACTGTAGAATCATGTTGTTTTTTTATTAAAAATGATATTAAAACAATTAATTCAAAGTACATACTTTTTATTGACACATATGATTTAGTAATTATTATTTAAAAATTACTTGATACTCAATTGTGGTACAATTAGTCTCACATCTGATTAAACAATGAAAGGAAACCAAATAATTGCATGACACAACATACAGAATTTTAAACAGCAGAACTCCTCGCGTTATTTCAAGTATGAGACAACACGGTCATTGTTAATACATGAAATATTTATGAAGAGGAGAATGCAATATCAGTTAACTGAGTTGAGCTAAAATGACCTTTCAGAATATGTTGATCTCGTAAAGATTTACCAATATTAACATATTATTTCGCTTGTAAGTGACTTAGCATGTTTTGTGTTGCTTCATTACTAATAAAAAAACATAATGACGCATTGTTTTAATATGACATAATATATACAAAATTTAAATTACGGTTATGAATTTTTTACTTAAAAATCAATTTATGAAGTCACATTTATTTTATAAAACACTTTTAAAAAAAATTAAACTCTGTGGCTTAATTAATTCTTATTAGAATCATAACCAAGAAACTTTAACATCTATACAGAGTATAAAACAAAATCGCTTTTAGCGTCTGTATGCTGAGGTCTTCGAAACTACACAACGGATATTAATGCAGTTTCCATCAATATACATAGTGATTCTAGAAGATTTATTTGACGTATAATACGGAACCACGCGGGCGATGCCGCTAGCGGAAAGCTATTAAATTATAATCTTGTCAGCAAAGCCTTTCATTTGATACCCATATCATGATATTGTATAATAAAATATAAAAAAAAAATAACTTGCTTTGTCGTCTTCCAGATCAATTAACTATAAGCTTGTAAAAAAATCATTTTCATGAAACAAATTGTATGAAATCTGTCTGAAGTACCAAATAAAATTTCATGCAATTTTCACTTTTCACCAATAGGTAGAGTAAATACACGAAGGAGGCATTCGTATTTTTATTAACTAGCGACCTGCCACTGTTTGTAAGCCCTGACTTGACCTTTCAGCTTAGCAGAACATTCGGGACTCATTTTTTACAGATCAAACAGGGCTCGCAGTCACGTGTTACTGCCACTGGTCACTAGTAAGCAATTTAAGTAATAAAAAATCAAATTGATTACCTGATAACGAAGGTACCAAAACATGGTGATAACTAACCCGACGAGGATTATCAACGCCATCTTTAGAGCTGTGTTCTCTTGCTGGTGAAGCCACATGTTCACTTTTTTATACCACACGTCTGGTCTAAAATTCATATTCTCGAAAAAATCTTCAGTTTGCACTGACACTGACACTGAGCTAGATTTCAAATTTGTCTCGTTCTCGACGTCCTTCCCTGTTTCTTTATGAACTTGGCCATTGATTAATTTCAATCCATTATGTTCGTTTTCATTCCAGAAGTTTAAATTGGGCAAATGTGGCATCCATGAAGTTAATAATTCGGGCACTTTGTAATGCCCTAGTAATAAGTATGGTGTGGATACGTGTAGATTTAAATCTTTGAGTTTGTAATGAACGTTAGTGAATGCCTCGTATTTCGAGTTTTCCGAGTTCACTATTGCCGATGGTCCTTCGAGAAGCAATGGCTGCGTGTGGCCCGTTGATATTGTTATGGTGTTCTTGTCTACGAGTGAGGACAATGCGTACAATCCATGATTGTGCTCGCCAACATACAAAGTAGGACTGAAAACATTATATAATCAAAGCCAAATCAAAAAATAATCGAATATTAAATTATGAAAAGTATAAAGTACTAAATACTACTTGGAGTTAATATATGCTGATAGATAATAATATCATATACGCCGAAAAAAAATTGATTAAGCTTATAAAAAACCGTATAATTATTCACTTACTATAATTCTATATTAGAGTTTTTGATTCCTTGACCGTTTCGCAAGGTAGTCGCATCTTCCATTATATGATCGAGTGTGTCATCTCCAATCGAATTGAATGGGACGGAGATAAGGCCCTCTCTGTCTAGCAAATACGTGGCCACGACGGGCGTTTCAAAATTATGAGACCACACGAGATCGCCAGTCTTACGATCGAAGGACATCAGCCTACCACTTGACGTAGAAGCAAAATGAATTATACCTGGTGAACAAAGAAAATTACTAACCTAGATTTCTAACGAAATGTCGAATTAGGCAGTCATTAAATATATCATGTATGTATGGCTCTAACGGTCAGTTGCACAATCGTCCATAAAGGTTTAATGACGCCTTTAAGCTCTAATGAATGTAAAATTTGTATGGCTAATGTCGCTTTAAACGAATGAAAATTAATGGACGTTTGAGCAACTAGATGGAAACTTATCAATAATAATCATATTCACTTTTGATACTATTAGGTACTAGTTATAAAAATAAATGATTGTTGTCAAACACTGAAGACTAGTGTTTGGCAAAGTTAATCATTCATCCAGGGTTATGTGTGTGCACTTGTACAATTAAGTCTCAAACAATATACAACAATTAGATTTCAATCAGATTGAATCAACTATAACAATTAAAGAAGCTTATATAAAGATATCAGAGCAGATACAGTTCCCATTTTGATAGAAAATTTGATAAAAATCTTTTATACACTTTATATTTAAAAATGTACATAGGTTTTTCATATTAATATTTACCATAATCGTTCAACATCTCTTTCCCCATGGCATGCGACGTATAATCGAAGAAGGTTACATTCCACTTTTGATTGCTATTCTTCGAATCATGCATCAGTATGTTGTATTCTGTTCTGGCAACATACACGCCTCTTTTTTTGTCAGGCTCGCATGTGTTGCCCTCCTGGCCGTTAAATATTTTTGACTTGTCAAAACCTGTAAAACAAACAATACTCACTAACTATAAATTACTAACACATAAAATTACATAAAAATGGCAAATTCAATGTAGCTGCCTGTATCAAGTACGCCTGTTGCCCGATAACCCCATGTACGATATTACAACTTTATTTTCACTTATGTTTTATTTTAGGGATGTATAAAATCTATATTGCGAATATAATATCGCATTTATCAGAATCAGCGATATTAATTTGCCGCTACACCGACACATTTTTAATTTCGAACGCTATCGCGTAGTTAGTTCTTAACACAGCAGAATTTGTCTACGTTCCATACGTGGGGATGCCCCCCCATTATATTCTTTCTTTGACTTACGCTGTGTACATCATATAACCCGTTTCACTAGATGCTTGTTGCATTTGATGTGTAATAATTTTTATTTCATAGTCGTTGTGATTATGACATGATTTTTTAGTTTCTATAACTTATTATACACATGTGCACGTCAGGTTACCACAATATGTCCAATTTATGCAATAGATTTCGACCTCTCCTCTGACCTCCTTAATATATTTAGATTTAAAACCGAGTGGGGAAATCAGAGAAACCTCGAAACATGCAGATGACTGTACGTTTCGAGGTTTCTCTGAATCTTTGCTGCCCATATCGGTATCTTTTTACAAATATCGGTATCGTATCAATCGAAACGCGTATCTATGCATCCCTATTTATTTTATTACCTGAGACATGTTCTCTTGACCCTGTCAATGGATCCAACATGAACCACGTGTCGCTCTTCTTTCCCGTATACAATATACCCTCGGATGATCTGCATGGCGCGTTCGCTACCAACTCTGGTATCGTGAACGGCAGTTTTTTTAGCATCTGTTGGTCCCCTCGAGGGCCATACATATAGAGGAAACCATGCCGTGGATCCGGTAGAAACTGGGGTGTCAAAGTTGCGTGCTGATTTGGAACTTTTACAACGGGTTCTAAGAATACAAAGAAAATACCGATGAGTTCTGATGCAACAAAGCAATTGACTTTTAGTTTTTTTTATTGTTTAAATTATATAGATTTTTTGTTTTATTGAAATAAATACGTTCGTATCTCTATTACCAACATTTTATATCCGTTTTGAATATATATTAGAAAAGAAATAAAAGTACACAGAACGAAATTCTGCAAATAATTTAATCACTAAATAACGTGTAGAGCGTTGGTTCATACACAGATATTGGTTACGTTCAGTTGCCTAAAGGCAATAATAATTGGAACACATTATATTGCGACTCAACACCTAGACTAGGACGTTGGTTAATACAGAATTTGGCTTTCCGCAACCAGATGTACTATCCGTTAGTAACTAGCCGTTTAAACTTTCTATGGACTACGACAAACATTTTAAAGTCAAAATAAACTAAATCAGCCAAGCCGTTCTCGAGTATTACCGAGACATACGACCAGCAATGGTTTTTCATATATTAGAAGATAAGACAATTTTTTTTCTGTAATTTACCTAAAATGAATAACTGCAGTATTTAAAATTCTTTTACCGGTCTCTTAAAGGGCACACATTGATCGATTTGTTGTCTTTTTCACGTCAACTTAATTCAAATGGTATATATAAATGGCAGCCAAGCCTTCAAATTATATATGACCTTGCAGAATATTATAATTCTTTAAAATAGTCAAACAAATGAATGATTGTAGTAATCATTCGCTGATGTAGGTCAATTTCAGAATAATCTCAATTGTATAAAACCATCATTACATCCAATAAAAAAATACTGATTATATTCCACTGATTACGCGTGACATATGGCAGGTGTAACCATGTGTGACATATTCTGATAATAACAGCTTTATCTACCAATAAAAAGTATTGACATATCACAACTGACAATTAAATTCTCATTCAAACTAATATTATAAATATGTATTAAAGAAACTGTCTGTGAACCCATTTTAATAAAATTTCGTATACATATTGAGTGAACCGCGAAAAATTATAAAGAAAAATAGGCTACGAAGAATGATAATAACAAAATACGGCGCGGGAGAAAAACAAGTATACCTACCATTAAATTGAATTGACATTTTTAGGGTTCGGTACCTCAAAAACAAAAACGGCCTCTCATAGGATCATATCATTATTGTCCATCTATCCGTTCGTCTGGCTATCATTTGAGAGAACACGTGGAGATAGACTTAAAATTAAAACATCTATAGTCAGTCCATAAAGCAGTGAAAAAAGAAACTCCTAAATTAGGGTAAAAAAAATGATATGGCCGTTTATGCCGCGAAAATATAAATTATGCTTGTACTTGTGCTTAACATCGTTTTATAGTACAGCAGACAGCACGTCAGACTATACAAACTGACAAATTTCTCCAATTGATTTTACACCATACGACTTGTCAGTAAAGTTGAAAATAAATTGCGGAAATTTGACATAATGTGGTAATCTGGCGTGCAGCCATGTGTACAAGATCAAGGGAAATTTTTATAAAGTATACAATAACTGTTTAATTATTAAAATACAATCTTAAGGGTTAATTTAAGATTGAAATTACTAGTTTTCTAGAGGTATGATATGATATTTATTTATTAGGCTTGAGTAGAAAATCTCAAAATATATTAGATTCGATTCCAGTTTCGATAGTTTGCAGTCTAGTTTGCAGTCAGCTAACTAAAAACTAACTAACAAATAATGCAATAAAATTGAAGATGTACAACATTTGATGATGGAGTGTATTAGAAACAAAAATGAGAGGGAGTCATTTATGAAAGAATTTAAATTAAATGTTTTAGATATAGGATTAATACAAAGTATTTTATCAGAACCAAAGTCTATCATTGCACAAAAACTATGTAAATTACTCGTAAATTTAAGATAAGCTGTAGTAAATGCTGTAAAAAATTACCTAGTGAAATATTGTTATCAAATGAATTTAGATTTAAGTATGGTATGATGGGGTTGGCATGTTCTAAAGAATAAAAACCCCTTAAAAATTAAAAGAATAAAAAAAAAAGCTAATTTGACAGTTACACTCGGTACATGCGTAGCATAACATAACAATATATTTAATTGTAGAGACTTGCAATAATTGTTAAAATATGGTTGCTTTGAGTTGACCGAAAAATGTAATAATTTTTCAAACCATTTTTAATTGAGGGTTTCTGTTCTCTTAATATACTGAAAAGAGCAGAAATGTAGGGAGATGCAGATTTAACCTATTTTATAACGCAAAGGAAATGCACCTTAAGCCTTAAACTTGGTGTTTCCAACCACCTTGTCCTGAAAGGAACAGATTGAAGCATGATTGGCCTACCTGATAAAACCTCTGGGTGTGTGGTGGTTGGATCCTTCCCATCTAAGATCCAACATGGAGCTTGATGGGTCCAGGATATACCCTAAGGCCACAGTAAGCCTGGGCCTAGAGTAACCAGGTATTAGGGGAAACCAATAATAGGTAATCATAATCCTATGGCATAGGCATTACTATTCTACACTGACTTATTGCCAAATTATGTTACAATAAAAAATTATATTATTTCATTCAGAATTTTGGTCTAAATTAAGAGAGCTCAAAAGAGCTAGTACTACATGGCCTAGGGCAGTCAAGTTTACAAATTCGCGTCTGAGAGCAGAATTAACAATTGAGATGTATGTATATGGTGAAGAGATGAAAGCAAAATTATTCCCATATAAACCAAAGGAGAAGTGTTAAAGATGCCTGACTAAGACTCCAATGTCGACTTTAATATAATTGATCAATAAAGATCAATTTGATTATTTAATAACACAGTGCAAAATACTTTTCCATGTTAGCACCACAAGTTTCATAAGAGCTCATTGTTAACAAATTCCAATGTAAGTCATACAATAATACACAAGACAAAGAGGATAGCTTGATATTTGTGTTATGATGCAATTGAAAGTAAAACTGTTCTAACCTCTTTTACAATTGTCAAGAAAAAAAATATACCAAACCTGCAATTAATATGTGCTCAACCATTTACTTTAGCCACTGTAATCTTCGTTGATAAATAATGCTAATCAATTATAACATATTAGAATTATTTAGTATCTACATCATAACAAGTAGGTAATCTTATATCAGATATGATGGCAGGAGTGCAACTGATAACAAATAATTTAAACTTTATATTACTAAGTAGAGGCTTACAGAATATTTACTTATCTGATTAAAAAATTGTAAAAAATATTAGAAAAAAGGCTTTATATTTACCATCCTTGAGTTTCCATATAATATTTCCTGCTAAAGGCTCTACAGCTACCATGCCACCCCCTAACGTGGCAAACAACAATGGTCTTTCGTCCAATGCCCGAGATAACTCGGTATTTTTCTACAAGAAACAATTTTCCACTTCAGTATTAGCTTGCTTACATTAATCAATGCAACAGAATTAACGCGATTCTTACGTCCTACTCACCATTTCACCCGCATTCTCAAGTGAACTGAGGCCGAAGCCTCCTACCAAATAAAATACTACAAAAAAAACCTTCATGTCATTTAAATAGTTCTTCAAACACCCGTCACAACACTGATTTGCAAAAATTGTGATGTAAATTCCATCATTTACTGAACAGAGATAAATTGGTCACTCAAAACTCAAACCTCGAACACTAAAGTGAAAGACACCTCACAACGCGATAATAATACAAAAACACGAAATGACATGAGAACAGAAGATGGTAGTAATGTGACATGACAATGACATTGACATTACGTATTAGAGATGTAAAAAGTAATCGATTAAATAACTATCATATAGGAAATATCATAGAACGACTCTAGAATCCAGTAATAATTCATAATTCCAGTAATAAACGCCAAAACCATGATTTTTCAAAGAAAAAGTAAATCTTATTGTAGTAACTGTAAAAGTGAAGGTGTGGTCCTACTACATAATGGTGACAACTGGCAAAAGAGACTACATGGTAATTTGTCTCCCTTCGAGCTAGGCGTTGTTAGCCCCGGGACTGCAGTCCAACCGATGTAGGTTTCCTTTGTTCTAAATTACTTGTAGTATCTTAATTAACAATGTAAACTATTGTTTACAATAATCAATGGAGAGCTGAGAGTTTTATGTTTATTGCATTTTCAGAAACATTATTTAACAACTTATCTAAGTAAATAGTATTCACAATGACGATTTTAATTTACTATTTGATCAATTAAACCAATATTCTATTAAACACCTAAGTTTTTACTTTATTTTAATATAATATCAATAAATCGTTTTTTATGATCTCGATTGCTTTTATCCCATATGTCAATAATAATTTACGTATATATTACCTGTTTCTTCTAAATATTTTTTTTTTATTTTATTCAACTAAACATGTAAATTTTCATAAATCAATATTACCCCAACACAAAGTTATGATGAGGCTTACTTAGAGCAGCCGAATGTGCTTCTGTCGTGTGACACACGCCGCCCAATCCGAGGTGTGTGGATTTAACAAAAATTAACGTTTATAAAATAAACAGGCTGTATGAATTTTACCTCATTACCTTAATAACAAATTAATGTGCGTAAAAAAAAAGGTTGATATTTGACAAATGACATGGAACTAACAACATATGTCAGTTGACAACACTGATTGACATGAACTTGCACTTGAAGGTTGAGCCATAGAGAAGAGAACAATTTTATATTTTGGGGTTGAGTAGGAGTAGGTTGAGCGAATCATGAAAATTGTTAGGAAAAGTTTATTTGTTGAGTGTGAACACGTATAATCTTGTTTTGTTTATTGGTTGGAGCGTGATTGCATTTTAACAATGGAATTATCGGGAACTGGTGAGTATAATTTAGTAATATTCAATAAACATTCTTTACGTTCCTTTTTAATGGAAAACATAAAAATACCCTTTGTTTTTTTTTTATCTTAAGGTGGTCGTATTCAAATAAGCTGATTGGAAACTGTTATCAATCTATTCGAGTTCTTAAAGTGTATACAATTGGTTACTTTGACAATCACGACTGATGACTGATAATGGAAGTGATTTCATTACAAAATTTAGACAATTCCAATAAGTACTTACCTATATAAATTAACTCAAAACGTCGCTCTGAGTTCATAAGTGTATTTACATATATGACTCGGTAACAATTAGTTAAATTGTTATACTGTTTGAAATTCCAAGGGCTTGTCAATAAACAAAAAGTTGTCTGCAATGAGTATGGCACTTGTTGGTTCTAATATATATTAAGAAATAAAAGTCATCTTCAGTAACATTTTTTTTTTTAGGAAAATCTCCAAATACCACTTTGTCTTTTAGATATAATGCTAATAATGAGGAGCTTGAAGAGCTATTTAATGCATGTGATGATGATCCACCTACACCTCAGTGCGACCCTCCTGTGAGTTCTCAGAGTGAAAACGTTAGCCCAAAAAGGTCAGATAAAACATCTATTATTGATAAATATTTTAAATCAATGCGTGAGAAACAAATTGAGAAAATAGAAGATGCTAAAGAACCGGAATCAAAGCAACTGGATGAAGCTAAGATTCAAAATCCACCCAAGGAAGTTTCATCATCGCCCATGAAAGAATATTTAAACCGTTTAGGGAAAAGAAGTACTTCTGATGTTGATGTGAAAGAACCAAATGAAACATGGAAAATTTTTCACGATTTCAAATTCAAAATAGCACAAGCAGTAGAAGATATGAAAACGAGGTCCCTGGAAGGTAATTGGTATTTGATTTAGCTTTATAAACAACCTAAGTATCATTAGAAGTGAAGTTCATTATTGTTACTTTAATTTATTACTTTATTTTGATTTTTAAACAATTTATTTAAAAAAAATCTCTGTTCTTCAAGCCATAACTAATTGGCACTAGTTGTATGGTAAATGATATTGATTGTGTACTGTTTTTATAATACAATATAGTAGAAGTAAAAATAAGGTAATAATCCTTCATATAGATGGATTATGTCATTTTATTTTAAACATTTTTTTAAATTAATATTAAGGTATTAGAGTTTTTTATGTTTCTAAATAACAGTGTAGTCAAATTTAGAGTATCAGAGACTGGATATACATAATTATTGTTTTCTTCATATAGAAACCAAAGAAAAGTCAGTACCAAGAGAAAATTCTATATCAGATTCTGAAGAGAATTCGGCTGTGAAAGATTCTGATCAGCAAAGTATTGGAGATACTGACAACCAGGTATATAATTTATATAAATCTACTTCCATAATAGATACTAATATTTTGTAAAATAAACTAACAATCAACATTTCATTACTGATAAGTAAATTTTAAGAGATTAAAGTTGTTAATTTTAACATATTTTATGTGACTATGGTAAGACTCATATATCCCTCATTACATCTAAAGTCTAAAAACTAACCTTAACTTAATAACTTAATATATCAAATTGACAATTGAGGTGGAATGGAAATTATCTTCTATTAATTGTTATAGAGTGTGTTTAATTTTGACTAAGGGCCCTTTTTAAGGATATGATGTGAATTATATGTGAGGGTTTAATTACTTAATTTTGAAATATATCCTTCACACTGATATTACAACACTAAAATAACTTAAGTTTGGGGGCTCCAATTTGCCACAGTTAGGTGCTTATATTGATCCATAGTACATAAAAATTTGACTTATTTATATAACTAACCTTTGATATTCTTCAAAAGAAATTATATTTTTAAGTTTGGATTCCAAATTGAACTGATTTTTTTTATCGAAAGTAATACAAAAATTAGTCAAAAATAACATAACAACAATAATTTCTTAATAACAGGTATCTTCATTGGACAGTAGCATTCAAAATTTGTCTGAAGTAACACAGCCGTTAACAGCAAAAGTCACTGAACGTGAATTATTGCTTCCTGCTGATAATAAAAATTATTCAGGTTCAAGTGATGACACTCACAAAAATATAGGTATAAAATAAAACAACAAAAAAGCCATATTGATATTAAATTAATTATAATCTTATTAATTGATTATTTTAGTTCACAGTGATTCAGCCGAGTTGTCAAAAGATTATCAATCTGACAGTAATATGATGGAAGTTGAATCAGGAGTAGAAGCTCTTGAGGATACTTTAGATGGATTTGGGGACGTTACTAATGTGGATGCTTCTCAACAAAAAGAAAAATCTGTCAGTTCTCTGCCGACTCCCCAACCGATAACAACACGCAATTTGGGATTGCCACCTAGTAAAAATAATCGAAATATGCCCCAAACTTCGGAAATATCTAAAACATACTTTTTAAATTTCACAATGTATTTTTTAACATTTTTTGTTTTCATTAACTACATGTTATTTCCTAAATCAAATTTATGGAATGGATTTTTGTTAGGTATTTGGTTTTTCTACATAGCTAGTGTGTTAAAAAATTGGGTGCTAGATAATTTCTTCAGTGATGTAGAGTCACATAAACCTCCATTCCTACACATGAAACGCAGTAGTGTTGTTCCATCTACATACACAATACCATCTGTGCAAGAACACACACCAATGAAGAAATATGAGGTTTGTGATTTGTTAAATTTCCAATTATTTCTTTGTTCCATTAATATTAGTAAGATACTATTTCATGATGATTGGCCATTTTGATAGATGTTTTTATCTAAGGGTGAACGCCTGTTCCTCAACAGTAGGTTTAAGGTTAACGCACATTGTTCCATCGACCGAGCCGAAGAAACAATTTTGAGTTTCTATCCTTATTCTAATGTCACATTGTCATTCATTCGCAAAGTCTAAAGAAAATTCGTTTCGTCCGCCTTCTTTGGCTCGATTTGGTTTGCATTATCCTTAATGACCTGATGATGGTACTTATATAAAACTTTATAAATGCATTTATTTGTATGTTATTTTTCATTCTTCTATTTTAGGGTTGGATAAATCACTATAGGTATCCAGATTATGATCCATTTACCTACCACATCAATCAAACGACAACGGCCTTCATGAAACTAGAAGGTAATAATAAAATATTGTTTTGTTGCATTTCAGACAAACTGTTGATTCCAGTATATTGTACTGTATTAGTATTGGCGGCGGATTGTCCTTTGGGTAAAGTAGGAATATGCCTAGGGATGCGCACGACCTTTGAAAAATTAAATACCTACTTAATGACGCAACCCATCTCCAATGACTGGCAAAATTGTTACTAGGCATTGGTACATACTATTATTATTGACTACCTTGCATCTTTGCGTGAATAAAAAATGGCGGTGGCTTTGCGTCTATTTTTTTTTTTTCAAAAATAAAAATCGTTATGTTTGACCACACAAGGATGAGAGATGACTAGGGCGCCCATTGAATTCGTATAGAAAGTTGCAATATAAAAAAAATGCATATTATAATTTAATTATATAAAAAAAAAAACGAAAATATCTGTAATATATTGATACCTTGAAACCCTATGCCTGATTAGGCCTCGTAGATCTCCAAAATCAGTTTTCCCTTATTTCCACCCCATGGGAAATCCATTTTGATGGTCGGTAATTACCACATTGGGAATCACTGCTATAAACAAAACGCTAAAAAATAAACAATTTATTCAATCAATATTTTGACAAATCTCAATTTGTGTATGAAGTTTAAAAATATATATAATATTTTTGACAGGTTGTAATTTAAGAATATCATACACTAAAACTAAAGTGGCTAAGAGAGCTCTATGGGATGAGAAAATAGAGAATATAATTTTCTACCAACATCGACTGTATAATTTGACTGGTGCACGCGTCATATTGCTGCCAAAGGGCCTAGTGAAGAGAAGGTAGGTAACATTGTATATAGCATTGTCGCCAAACAAAGAGAATTTCGTACAATGACCCGACATTATATATCTTTATCACTCGTGCGCAAATTTGTTTCTATTGCGCTCGCACAGATGCATTTCGCCAAATATGTCATATTAAAGTGAACCTAAAATGTTTACGATAACTATCAGTGGGCACAAATGACAACATACGGAATTCTTTCTGTTATTGTTAAATTGAACTAAACGTATAATTTTCTACATTGACCCGACCGGAAATCGGGACGTCACAGATGGTCACCATCTCTGACGTCCAGTCGGGAGCTTGAAACCTTGAAACTTTGAAACCGCGAGCTACTCGGCCACCGTGATCGTGGCTTAAATTTTCTACAATATTGTAAATAAAATCGTTTATTGATAACAAATAAAGAATTATTGATTTTCTAAAATTTCATACAAAGTCTAGGTATAGGCCTAATTGAGCTCAGAAAACACATGTCTACTGTTTTAAAATACATTAATATTACACAACATGAAATACATTGCTCAGATTCCAAGATAAGCATCTAGCTAAAGTTCCCGCATAATTGAGTATCTGACAACTAGGTACCACAACGCCGAAACCCGAGATAATATAGAAAAATAATCTTTATTAACCCGATTGGTAATCGAACCCGAGACCTCAAAGATGGCGGCCTTGAAAGCGACGTGTGAACCACACTGCTATAGAGGTTCGCAAATATAGTGACTATGTATGTATTGGCTCAATTTGCTTAAAAACAAAGGTCAATAACGGAAGCAGTTAATATGGATGTCTATAATATAGTTTGACTGCCCGTCTCTAGGCTAATCTAAGGCCAATGTACAAAGGTTTCACAAGGTCTACCAGTCGCACACTAAAGCCTTGTGCACAAAATTCACTGAACCGAAAACAAATAGGCCAATGACCGCTGCATCTCAAGACAAAAAGTAGTTTGTTCCTACTGGTCATACTGACATTTTTATTTTCTGCATTTTGTATATATATATATATATTTAATTTTATTATTACCATAATGAGTTTTTTTATATACTTCATCCTATTTCTGTTTTTCTTTAAAGATACGGTTTTTTCGATAATTTATGTTGTAACGGAGGTAGGATGATGAGGACATAATAACAAAATTATAAAAACAATTCGAATTTTGCCGAATTTTCGTTCGAAAACAAAATAGAATAGGCACTCAAGTGTCATATTAGTTTTTACTGATTATAAATACATTAACGCTTTAAAATTATTAAATTTGCTACAAATCCATAAAATTACATTGATAATATATATACAAGTTACCCAAAAGGCTAACTAATTTATGCTCCTTCCGATAGACAATGGAGCAAAAAGTATCCAATCTGCGTAGTGTTGAATGAAAGAGAAAGTATACAAGTTTTAGAAAAAGAGAATATTGAAGCGGAACGAAAATTATCGGAAGCTACGGCGAACAAGAAGGGTAAAGAAACGCCGGAGGTTGAAAGCACGGAGACAAACACCAGCCCTGAGAAAAGACGAAAATTCGTGTGGAGAAGAAGGGAGAAAAGGTAAGCTATATTACTTACTAAATCTATACTAATATTATAAAGAGGAAAGATTTGATTGTTTATTTGCCACGAATGGGCTCCAAAACTACTGGACCGATTACAAAATTACATCATAATATGCGGTTAACATAGGGTATATTTTATCTGGAAAAACAGCAAATTAAAGGAGCAAAATATTAGTGGAAGGAAGTGAAAACGTTACCATAGTAACGATTGTTTACTACTCAATTTGTCATTGTTTATTTGGATATCGATCAGTTCCCTAGGAACCACGCGGGTGAAAGCTTATAATATGCATACAGCAGCTTGTCGACTCAAATTTGAACTTCTCTGTGAACGCTTTAAAGTTTCAATTGGAGTAAGGATACCAACCATGATTAGTTTAGAGAAGTAGACGCAACTGTTAGCGTGTCGACGTCTGCGATACGGGCTTAAGCCACTTTCGCAAGGGCTGTCCATGGGATGGGTGACCAAATTGTCTGTTGTATGCTTTGGATGGCACGTTAAGCTTTTGGTCCCGGCTGCAGTAAGTTAACACCCATCAATCCGCACTGGGCTTGCTTTGTGGGTTATGGCCTATTCTTTCTATTTGGAAGACTTGTATTCTAGCAGGAAGGTAAGTAAGAATATTTAATAGGTTGATGAAAAAGGAAGTAATTTAAAGTAGTTCTATCCTCCAACCTATAAATTAATATACAGTTGTATCTAATTTAGTATTTTAAAACCCACGATCTACCGTGTAATTTATTATATTTACTTTACTCAAACATTCCGCTAGCGGCTTCGCCCGCTTCATTATTTATTATACATAAAACCTTCCTTTTAAATCACCATATCTATTAAAAAAAACCGCATCCAAATCCGTTACGTAGTTTTAAAGATTTAAGCATACATAGGGACAGAGAAAGCGACTTTAATTTTCTTTTTATGTCATCTCTCTCTATATTTTTTTCTTTTTATTTAACCATGTTTAATATTTAGTAAGAATATTGAAACAAAGTATTAATAGGGATGATGATTGAAATAAGTTTGTTTGTCTGTCGGTCTGGTATTATTAAACACGTATATTTTTTAAAATTTTTTTGCGTAATCAATAAATTAACGCGACACATTTAGTTGAAATATCGCATCACGACATACCTTTGTAAATTTTCTACATAGTTATGACGTAGCAAGCCCTCACACCTCAACTTTAATGCCTATTTATCAAAGCCATTTCTTGTTAATTGAATAAAAAAATACTTACAAATTTGACATTCATTAGAGCTTTATAAGGCATCATTAAAACTTAATGGACGTTTGTGCAACTGACCGGATATAGATTTTTTACCCGGTAACCATCCCTATTAAGTACATATGCCGAGCACATATATTAAAATATCTATGCTATTATTATATAGGTCAGAAGTTCCTAAACTTAATGGACGTTTGTGCAACTGACCGGATATAGATTTTTTACCCGGTAACCATCCCTATTAAGTACATATGCCGAGCACATATATTAAAATATCTATGCTATTATTATATAGGTCAGAAGTTCCTAACCTTTGTGTAGGATAATTGCCTCGTCCGGCTCCGTTACTAATATAGTTGGTGTATGTGCCTCAGTGTTATAAGGGCAACTATTTTGTTCCAAATAGCTTATCACTGAAGTAGTAATTATGTAATTTTACTTATTCATACCAAATCATCCTTATTAATACCTCTTTCTATTTGTTAATAAAGCTTTAAGAGAAAAGATTAAGTTGTTTTGTATATGTTTGTTTGCATAAAATAGTCCCCGAATCTACTGGATCGATATTAAAACCTTTATTCTTTCACCTACGGGCAGCTACATCATACGAGTTTGACGTAGGCTATAAATTACGCGTGCGAAGGCACGGGCCAGCAGTTAGTTTTCAATCTAATATATTTCACTGTTCATTTATTAAAAATGTAAAACTGTACCCTATTACTAAGACTTCGCTGTCCGTCTGTCACTAGGTTGTATCCTATGAACCCTGATAGACAGTTGAAATTTACACTGATGATGTTTTTGGGTTGGCGCTATAATAAAAAATACAAAAAAATCAAACATAATAAATATTTAAGCGAGCTCATATACTTTATAATGATACTGATTTCTTATATGATGTTATGATAACTACTTAAAATTTGTTTATAGTTTCATAATATATTGCCACTGACTGGCGTAATTAAATGAGTCATTTACTTTTTATTTGCTATAGCCATGGTATTATGTCATCATGTTATTATCAATTAGGAAATTAACTTTTTTGTTAATTAACCGCACAGTTATTTTTTTTATTACTTATTCGTTCGAGGTACTTACTGATTGTGGCTGATATTAGAATAAAAATACATACTAGTAAAAATTACAATATATACATATCATATAATTGAGGAATGAAACAACGATTTGCATTGATAAGAGATGAAATTACGAAATAAAACAACTTCATTTCGAATTCAACATGGCGGACAATCTAAGATGGCCGGCTAGTTTTAAACACTAAAATCTAGTCTGCCATCTTTTACACAAAAGCGTGTTAACAGCAATATTACCTATCTAACAAGAAAAATAAATAAATTTATTTGTTTTACAGTATTTCCCACTCCGATGGAGAAACAGGTAAAGAAGGGCTTCGGCACAGGCTTGTTAGAAAAATGCATAGAGGTTTGTATTTTGAATGCTCACATACTTCACCTACCACGTAAGCTTATAAGATTTAAGAGTTAAAAAATATACTTAATTTAAATTGTGCAAGTTGTAGTATGGTACTTGATTAGCAATCTTCATGCTCAATTACGTTTCAACGCTGATTCCAAACTGGCGAACTCTACGCTCTTATTTTATTTTTGTAAACGATTATGTTTATTTGACTTAAAATACATTTTAAGTTGATTATATACATATATTGTAGATTTAAACAAAAATCAAATTTGAAAGTTTAAAATGTTTCAATCTATAATTTATTAAAATATGAAGATATTAAATTTTAGTAACTAAACAGGAGTGAAAAGGACGAAAAATGTGTACATTACAACCTCACCATATAATTTTGAAAGTCAATAATACATGATCAATTACATATTTAAGACAATAAAATCTTACTATTTTTAATATATATAGTTTGATTTTTTATTTATAGAAGATCTACAAAGTATTTTGGTCGCTTAAACTATTACCTAAAAAGTTTAATTAACAATTTCCCTGTATCAATCACAGCGTCTGTAATAGTGATGGACTAATTAGGCAGTTGTTAAGTAAACCAAATATCATACCATAACCTGCAAGTTTTTTTTTGTCATTTTAATAGCTCTTACCTGTATGACCACACAAAACTATTTGCCTGTATAATTGCATTTTTTATTACTTATCTTGCATTCTCACCAGGCTTGCAATTACTAAAAATATCCATATCGACGGTTGAGAACTAATGGATCTTAACCTATTTTGTGAATAACGTAGAATATCTTTTTACAATGAAATCAATGATCAAATAGAAAAGGTCATATTATCCAGTTTACATAAAAATGGAAAGGTTTATTCAACCGTCGGTAAATATTTGTTTCTAGAATATCGCAATTCAATCTTTTTGTCAGATTTACACTGAAACAAATTAGAATTTTAATTTAATAATATATTTCTAATTTTTAAATCGCATACTAGTAACCGCTATGTACCGCCGACGTGGCTAAACAAATAGTGGGTTCGATTCCGTTGTTCATTTTCCAGTGGAGTAAGTTATATTGTGCATTTTTTTTATACCTACATACCTTAAACTGCATCCTTACATTGTTTCTTTGTGCAAATAAAAAGAGGTATTAACTAATTAATTTATAATGTGCAAAAGAATCGAACCCGTTATGAAGTATTCGTAGAATTATTATCAACTTTACTCTTCTGTAGTTGTTTACCCAAAGAATAAATATCATATTTGATTGTCTCGCCACTTAATTAACCAGTTTTAAATATGAAATTTTACCTGAGCCTATAAGCGTCATTGTTTCGTGCATCTAAGAGTGATATGCCCATTAATACTTTTTTTTAACCAAGGGGTTCCCTTGGTCCATCTAAGATATTTATTTTATTATATTTATTTCAGCCTTTTTGATCATAGTTTGACAATTTTTTGTTACTCTATAATGTAACGTCCACAGATAAGAAACCGGACAACTTGTCTACATGTATGGAAACAAATGAAAATCAAGAGAAGGCTGACAAGAACATTCCATTCGAGGATACGTTATTCCACGACGCGGAAATGGATTTCACTACGAAATCGACGACAAGCACTAAAGATGACGTAGAAGAGGACTTAGACGAGACTGAATTGTCCAGGCTCAAGGATTTCTTAGAAGATGCAGTGAGTTTATTAAAAAAAAAATGTTTTTTTATAACATAATTTAAACTTTGTTAGCTTTTCTTGTCTGACACACAGGTCGACCTGGTTCAGACATAAACTAAAATATTTACACACAGACCTAACTAATGTGGCAAATAAAAATAGAACCTATGTAAAATTTCAATATAAGCCATAAAATACGCTAAAATTAACTTTAAATACAATGTAAACTAACTAAATAACCAAATGTAATTTATGAATAAATTATTATTATTATTAAATAGGGTATTTGACGACATTAAAAGTTGTGGTTATCTTATATGATAATAGCGTATTAACTCATTTCAGTTTATTTTAAATGAAATAAAGTATAATTTTTGCAAATTATACAAAGTAAAATCTAATATTTTTTGTCATTTTATCTGAGACGAAAATAACTTGTAAGTGATTGCAATTCCAATGTGACGTACACGCTAGTAAATATAGATTCCTGTTGACGATTTAATTTAATGAGGTTTGTTTATTTAATTGCGTGTGACGTCATACGCGTCATAATGCCGGCGTATGGCAGATACGGCGTTGTTCGTGCGGTTTCGTAAATTTACACATTAACTTTTATTTTTATTGATAAATACAGTAAATTTCCCAGAAATATAAATGTAATGTAATAGTGTATTTTGTAAAAAAAAGAAAATTAGTCAAATACCCTTTTATACGTAATCTTTATTCTCATGCAGCGACAGAAGTTTTATTTAAAGGGTTTGAAGATTTTGGGGTTCAAAACCAGTCATGAAATTGTATACTGTCCTTAACACCGTTCATTGTTATAAAGTTCAATTATCCTCTCAGGAATCAGAGACGGGTGCAGAGGGAGGGGCGGAGGGCGAGTGGAGTCTACATGTGAGACGGTCGGCAGACAAACATTCCCATTTATATTTATTCGCTCGTACTGGCAGAGACAAACATGAATGGTGAGTGTCAAGGGCGTCGAAAGGGCGGGAGGACAGATCCCCCCTCCCCTAGAGATTCTAATAAAATAGCCTAATGTAAAGCAACCAAAGTCCTAAGTCTTTGACTTTACTTGTTTAATCAATAATTCCCCTTACGTCGAAACTATCACGAACTTACCAATTATATTTCTATACTCAACTACGCTCTGCCCTATGCTATTGCTAAAGCGGAAGGAGGCGAATGGTGTAGATTCAAACCACCAAATTATTTTCATTCTAATAAATGTAATAAGCTCCTGTAATTTTCATAAAAAAAAGCTTCATGTGCTCGCGACTTTAGCTACAATTTATACTTAGTTCAATGTCCATTATCAACTATACACTGCTGGGCTCCCCATAGATCTCCACGAAGATTGGTCCTGCCCTGCCCGGATCCGTCCTCGACCTTTATTAGATTGTCGTCCTGTAAATAAAACCGCCAAAGAGCGGTCGCCCATCAGGGCTGTATGCAGGATTGGATCTAGGGAGGGGCAAGTGGGGGCACTAGCCCCGGACGACAGGGTTATTTACCAAAATCATAATATAAAAACAGAAAGCTTAACAAAAATTCATTAAATTCATACACATTAAGCTAAATAAGATGGATGGAAACGTAAAAGAAAAACATCATTGGCTGCAAAAATGGGAATATACAAATAATCATCAATCATCATCAGCCCTTTTACGTCCCCACTGCAGGGGCTCAGGCCTTCCTTATGAATGGTTAAGGAGGATGGGCCATGACCCTCCACGCTGGCCCAATGCGGATTGGAGGATATTAACGACTGTAAATGCAGCCGGGACCAACGGCTTAACGTGCCTTCCGAAGCACGGAGTAACTCGAGATAATAATTTTTTCGGTCACCCATCCCGTGACCGACCCTTGCGAAAGTTGCTTAACGACAACGATCGTGGGCCGCGTCGCTTATCCACTACGCCACCGAGCTACTCAAGAAATGAATACTCAAGAATTGAGAAATATACAAATACGTACTAGTTACTAGCATTGGCATACACTTAATTTTTTCTTAAAACATATTTTTGATAATCTCTTAGCAAGTCGTCTCGTGTGAATTATGATGACCGTTTGAATATTACCATTATTAACCATTATTCAATACGTGAAGTTGTGTTGAAAACAATGATTGTCATTTCGAACACCCACCAAAATTAATTAAAGGATGTGAAAAACAACTCATATTGTATGTCATGTTTCATAGTTACATTAACTAAACCTACACGTATCCAGTAGTCGGTATCTAAGTAGAAAATAATGTAAGCTTTATTTTTCATAACATCCGAATCCGATTCCCGTATTGAGAACTATATTTATTTAAATGTCTGATTGCAATTTTTCTTTCATCTATCTTGATGACATGATTTTTAAGAACAGATCTACGTATGTCTTATAGTTTCAGACTTTCCTTTACTGACTGTTCTTAATGTTACACGCTGTATATTCTACATATTTAGTGTTGTCGTATTGTAAGGTACCGTCGGCTTACAACTGCGGTAGCAGACGCGAAAGCAGCATCACCAGATATTTCTGTAGAAGACGAACGAAGTGCGAGCGACCTCGCCGATAGCAAGGACGGTGTCGAAATGGCAGTATTCAAAATCACCGAGAAAGAAACTGTAGCATTCGCTAAAACTATTGTAAGTTGACTATAAATAACATCTTGAATTTGGCTATTGAAATAAATATTATCCCTAGGGGAAAAATCCCCCGCAAATTGCTAAAGGCCTGGCCGCCATTTTAGTAACGTATTCCTTTGCCGTATCTTAACAAATAAACATTGGCTGGCGAGTAAGCGTATAGAGTTGGGTTGTATAGACCAGGGCGGTTCTTTTTTATTTTTTTATAAATCGTTTTCAATGCCGTTTATTTAATCTGTTCCAGAATAAAAATTCCGACTCAATATCAGAAGCTGTCACCATATCTACGACTGCTAACACCCAACGGATGCAAGTTGACGTGGAGTCGTATGAGAAGACCTTCTGGCCATACTTGCTAAAAATAATACAGGTATGTTTTAACTATTATATTGTAATAAATAAATACATGAGATATTCATTACTTGAAATATGGTTACATAAAATAGATGTTCATTGGTATAGCAGCCCGTCAGACTATACAAATCTGTCAAATTTCTCTACTTCATTTTAAGCCTTAATACTTTGAGGATAGAGTTCAACATCAATTGAGGAAATTTTGACATTGTGGTAGCCTGACGGCAGTGTGTACATAAATAAGTTCGCACATTTCGCCGGATACCAGACATTTTTTTTTTAATTATTAAATTTAAAGGTGTGGTAAAGTACCATATTTTGTGAAATATTCAAATTCATTCATTTAATATGTGTTTGTGTTGATAACAGCATCACGATATGTCGTTAAAACAAACCGCCGAGGTGGGTGTGATGTGCCAAATAGAACCTTCGCCTAATGAACGGAGCAAAAACAAAAAGAAGAAAAAATCGAATGTTTGTCTTATACTCCTTATTTTATACGTAATTTAGTTGTTATCGTTACACTAGCTGTTAAATGTGTAAATATATCTCGTCATATTTTTAATCGTCTTATCATATTTATTTATTTATTTAACAAGTGGATAGTAGACGGTATAATGATGTTTATGTATTTAGTCTATTCATATAATAAGTAAAAAGGTTAGAACGATAAAGTGGGCGGGGTCGTACGTCCGCCCATATGCCCAAAACGGTAACATGAACGTCACGTAGTTCGAATCTCTCGGGTAGTATTTTCACATCATTGTGATCTGAGATGAGGCGCGAAATACAAAAATATGCCGAATTGTGCAATTGTTACGTGTCATTTACATAGGAAAATATGAATCTGAACAAAAGAGAAGAATTTATTTTCCTTGTTAAGTAAAAAATAATGGAATGTTATTTCAACTGACGGTGTCAAGCATTGACATAGTGTTTGCATGTTATCGGTAATTTATCGATAGTACATAAATTCTAAAATGGTCTGACAGAGTTGAGCGTTCTTTTTCTACATTAAGATGAATATATTTACACAAACAAACATATTTACACAAATAATTTAATCACAAGCAAAGCAAGTGCCCCTTGGAAAATTTTCTACAGGCGCCCTCTGACCTAATCCGGCCCTGAGTAGCGATTATTTAAATATTTTTTTCTGAAAATGACCTCAGTAATGTTTCTAAAAAAGTATTAGGAATCTTCTGCTTTAACACATACACATTTGTGTTCAGGTAACGGTTTGCATATTTTTTTTCTGACTACGTGTGAATGTTCGAGTTTGCTCACTTCTTATTATTATTACTATTCTTAAATAATTTGAGTAGTGAAGTATTGTCGTGTTGCAGGAAATGTCTTGATAGTGCGTTTTAAACTTATTTATACCTATTATCTGAGTTATACTTTTCATTTGGCTTGTTTTTTTGGGGTTCCGTGCCCATTTCGTTTTGGGGGAAAACGGGACCCTATTACTAAGACTTACCTCTCCGTTAGTCTGTCACGAAGCTGTATCTCATGACTTGTGAATTGATAGACAGTTAAAAAATTCACAGGGGTGTATTTCTGTTGCCGCTAAAACAAAAATCAGAATAAAATAAATATTTAAGGGAGCCCATACAACAAACGTGATTTTATTATTAAGGAAAAAAGCTTAATAATCCATATTGTTCTTGGAACTCTGAAATGGGATTCGAACCCATGACCTTTCGCAATCCGTGCGACTGCTCTAACCACTGAGCTACCCAGGATCTAACAGGACCGATGAATTTTACAAGCATTTGTTTCTTTTTCGCTACTACAGAGCCTATTTTCAGCAATGTTCAGGCAATCTACCCAAACAAACATGTAAATTAAACTTTTTAAATTTATTATTTGCGCTTGAATTATAGTATTTACAACTGACAAAATAAATTGTGCAGATTTTTATAATAGCTGGTAACCACAGAAATATATCTAGTTAGAAGGAAAAAGTGTACGTACTTCGTGTGCCGAAACGACGTCTAGACAGCTTCATTGCTTGCCGGCTCAGTCCACTTTCGATCGCAATCGGTGTTGGACGAAATTTAAAATAATGCGTTGTTCGATAATTACTTGCTCAAACACCACCAATATGGTTGGATCTTATAGTCGAGGTATTTCCTTCCATCAGTAAGTAACTATTTGCCTTGATATATCTATTTTGAATTAAAAATCATTAGTTTTGTTGCTCCGTATTATTTTTATCAAAACGGTCATGTGTCCAGTAATAGCTTTCCATTGCGGCTTTAATTTGACAGTCCAAATTTGCTGTGCTTGTAAAACCATCGATGTATAATTCAAGGTCAATTTGTTGGAGGACAAATTATCATTTTTTCTGTCAAAAATGGAGAATAGTGCTGTACAATGCGATTTTTTTACCCGATTAAAAAAATATCGTTTTTGAAAGCAGAAGAAAGGATAATTAATTTTATATTGAATTATACTGTAATTTTTGTTTTAGTTTTCCGTATGATCCTAATATTAAAAATAAATGGATTGAAGCAACAGGACTCTAAGGCAAATAGTAGGTATACTTACTGGACATGGAAACTTTAACAAACACCTATATAACATGGGTTATTCTGACAGTCCTCTGAGCAGGGCATGCAGGAGACTGAGGAGATTGTCTCCTCAGTCTCCATTCCAGTATCATATAAGCGCTTGTGCACTCATGTGATACTGGAATGCAGGAGCCTATTAAAACAAAAGGACTACATATCTATGAAGCCCAAGGATACTAGTGGAAGCATGCGGCAGAGTTCGAGATCTTACGGGCTTCCTGGAGGAGCTGGGGTGGCAGGACTAAAGCAACCCCGTGTCATGCAAAATAGGCACTGAGTATCGAGTTGCAGAAAAGCCCGCCGTGAAACATAACATAACAACACAGGACGTAAAAATGTGTAGCGTGTCGGGAGGGGGTAGCGGCTACTACTAAGTGTTTGCCCACAGAAAAATGCCGATTTCTATTCTATCGCATAAAATCTTTTTTGCGCCGATTCACTAAATTACATTCGTGAGTTCGTGACATATACATAATATTTAAGCAAAATGGTAGTCTGTCTATAAAGTCATGAAAAAAATTGAGGGCGCTGCGATCGTGCACGTAGCAATCCTGTGTAGTGAGACAAATGATTTTGATAGTAGGATTTTTTTTTTACGGTAAAGAAAGGCGTATAATTCGTAGACAATGAGTTTATTCTACATTGAAGATTACAATATAGTAATCGTAATTTTTGATAAATCTTTTTTTTTATAATTGCCAAGTTGTTTTCTCGTTTTACTGCAATGTGTGCTTGTGTTCGATTAAAGCCTGTCACTTTGACACTCTTTGTAAGAAAACCCAATATATTTCAGAATTTAACGCAGAACTTCTAGGCTACAATTAAAATCCAGATCGGTTTTGGCAATCCACTGATGTTTTCTTCATGTACCTCTTCAGGTACCTCTTTTTTTTTCACAGAGTAAAAGAACTGAATCTTTTGTCGAAGTGCACAAATGTTGCAGTTAACCATTTATTTCTTAGGACGACTATCTATGTTTCCCAGGGGTTTCAAATATGCCACCATTTTTATAACCTTCATCTACAATACGTATCACTATATTCTCTGATTTTCCTGAAAGTAAGTTTTAAAAATGTAATACCTATAGGTATTTGGCAAAAAGAATGGAATCGCCACAATGATCAAATTAATGCTATAATTTTAGTAATATAAAGCACAAACTTTTTATTGGCGTACGTAGGTAAAAATCATACATTCCTAACAGGTATATTTTTTATTCAGATTAAAATCAATGATAAATTTGATTATCCAAAAGTATTGAAAGTTCGGGCCGCACTACAATATAGCCTTCTAACATTTTCAATCTAACCTATAAATGCATAATGTAATCAATACTTCTTTTACACTTAAATTCATATATTTAGTAAATTTGAAACTTCTGGTAACCAAAACTCAATCAGTAACACGATTACATACCAGCCATAACTGCCGTTCGAGCTTTAACATCCTACAAATATGATAAAATGTGTCCAGCTTCTTGTTCCAATAAACATCACTGAAAAACTTTATAAATAATATCCTGAGCTTCACTCTGATTAATTCTCTTCATTTTTAACACTTTTCGACGGAGTTTAGAAGAAGTAGCTTCAGTTTAATCAAAACAAATCAAAAATGCAGAAAATCGAGCTAAAAAATCAAGTTGTTGACACTCGATGTACTTTGATTCAGTGTTGTCATACTTGTGTCTAATGTTAGTTCCTCAAACATTCTTTTCATGACTTTATAGACAGACTGTACACGTTGGTCTCCGTCGATCGATATCGTTTTTTCAATCGATAAGAATCGGTATGCCGTTTCAAATACAACATGTATTCGATGCAAGTGAAATTATGTCTTCCATCACTAAATTAAGATCGTGACGTCATGATACCTACACAAAATGTGGCACGCTCGGTCTCCATATAAATCGACGAACATTTTCCTTCTAACTAGATATATTTCTGTGCTGGTAACAGATACTTGTGTATTACCGTAAAATCAACTGTATTATTAAGCCATTATACACTACCTTTGCTGAAAGTTTTGTAGCCAATGGTAGCATCGCTCTCTTTGTGTGCTGAATAGGTAGAGTTTTAAAAAGTGGCACGCGCAGTGCTAGTATTAATGTTAATACGTTATCGTTCTAACCTTTTTACTTAATCTGTGAGTCTATTACTAGCTGATCTAGTACTTGGTTACGGTGGTTGGCACTACAAAACTACACTTACTCTGGATACGGATTTGTGTCGTACGAAGACGTATGATTATGGACTTATGACGTATGATCAATGGCGTGCTCACACTGGATAGTTTTGACGACGCCAAATAAACAGTCTCCGGTTGGAGCTTGACGAATGACAACGTTGTTTATAGCTAGATAAGTCTCTATAAGGACTTGATGACTTCGGCAGTGTCATCGAACTATGTAAAATTCTATCTTTAAATAACCCCAAACTGTTTTATGGTTTTGTATGAATGAAAAAAAAAACTTGATATTTTATATTATTATATTTGATCAATTTTGCATTCACAATGCTATACTGAAAAATATTCATAAAGAATTATTCATATATAATTTAATAATAATGGATGTAGAAAAATACCCGTTTTTTTTTCAAATGTCGGAATTTTATTGCACGTACAAACTATCAGCCAGTTGAACAAACGTTCGTTAAAATTTTTATGAGTCATAAGATTCATCTCATTCATTTATGAGTCATCTCAAAGACGTCATAAAACCTTGATGGACGTTTGTGCAACTGACCATACGTGTACTGAGGGCGCTCCATTAGTCCTTCCAAGATTAGGGATAATCATGCGTTTTCGTACGTATTCGTATGAGTGAAATCCAATTCAAATTGAATGACTGCTAAGAATGCCCCTTGTAGGGGTGAAACGCGTATAAAGGGATGGATATTTGTTGTTTGTGCATATGAATTTGTGTGCGGTTTACGGTGGTGGTAACGGTGGCACTGAAAGTCTAACGACTACTGAGGATGCTCCGTGGAGGGTCGGAACATGTTTTGTGGTGTCGCTTGTACATGTGAATTTGTGTGCGAAAGGACACAATTATGCAGTTACTGACCGCGAAAATTGTTAGATATCGTAGTTTCACAGTTATATACCTCAATTTTTAGGTTAGAAAAGTCTACCTATATAAATTTTAAGATGTCATATGTTCATCAATTTTCCATTCACAATGCTATCCTGATAATATTCTTAATGAAAACATGCTTCAAAATTGTCATTCGTTCGCGTCCGTCTCAGAGTACCTGGGACTGGTGGATTTTTAAGCATTTTTTTTTTTCATTATGAATATGTCATAAGTGTTGTAATTGAGAACAAAGTGAATGTAGTAGACAACTTTTTAATATTAACTAAATACTATATTATCTACTTTAATAAACAAACGTACACAGCGAATTATTGAATATTGTTAATGTTACGATCCAATTACTACACATTTTAACTCCCTTTTCTCTGCCTTTGAAAATTATCATTTCAAAATTCTTAGCCTAACATAAAAAGTACCTTATTGTCATATCATTACAGACGAAATCTCCCTCTTTGACTTGCCAATGTCGATTGCTTCCCGCCGAAGTGACGTGGGTGAATACATTAGTAGCTCGCATCATATACGACGTTATGCGGGATCCTGTCATTATCGCACGTCTTCAGAATAGAATACAGAGGAAACTGAATACGCTCAAGGTAACTTTTAAACACATTTATGTATACTAATAAATAAAAATTACATACAAGATTTTTATATCCAGTGCATTAAACCGTTAAATATAAAATAATAAAATTAATAAAACCAGGTTTATCTTTGTTCTAGTCAATTAGAATATTTTATTTCAATAGTTTCTATTACATTGCCCTCTCATATTGGCTGCTCGACTGTTTTGAAAAAAGTATTTTAAAAATTTCATATAATTATATTAAACCACTATGAAATCTCGAGCTGTGACGTCACATTTCAATAAATATGTGTGCTTATTGAATTGTGACGTCATGGTAGAGTTTAAGCACTTTAGAAAATAGATGAAACTTGGTTTTCGGATAAAATAGAATAGGTCGTCATATAGGCCTACTCATAAGAATTAATATGACACCGCCTAATTCTCTAGGCTTGATTCTAGCCATAGGTTACGACATCAAGGCAATGTTATACCGATACTACTTTGACATGTCTTTTGGTGCATTACTTTAGGATTAATGATTAAGTTGATAACACTGCTATCAAATCTAAAATTATAATTCTTTATCGTTTGTTCGTCGTTACTAAAGTACCTATATTCTTTGGCTAGAATCAAAACTGGAGCATTTTATCCACTTATGGCTCCTATATATATACTCGTACTGCACATTCTTGTGCTGTTTTTCTTTTCATTTCACTTTTAAAGATTTGTGGGTCAAGCGTCAGCAACGTAGTTTTCTTTGATTTGTCCTATTTTTACATAGTGATATCAGTATCAGCTAGCATCGAGATAAGTCCCATCAACAATACAATACTTAACTTTAATTATAACTTAACTTTCATAGTGTAACTTAATAAATCTTTAATAACGAAGTTCTTTTCTTGGTATCCATCTCAACAAATTATTATATATACAATAAACTCCAAACGTCTACTGTATGGTGTCGTGGTCAACTTAAGTAACTACGAACGAATGACGTCACACGCTAGTAAATAAACACACCTCATCATACTAAAATCGTCAACAGAAAGCCTAGCGTGTGACATCATCGGAGTTTAAACCAATTAAAATGCGTTTTGGTCTCAGCTAAAATGTCAAAAATATATTTTATTTTGTGTAAACCGCAAAAATTACACATTATTTCGTTTAAAATTTACCAATTTTTTAAATATTTTTTAAATGTTTTCAAATACCCTTTACTATACTATCTAAATTTTAAATGACCCCAAACGTCGCATCTCTAAAGGCCTATTCCGTTTCACTGAACAAATAATTTATGGTACAGTTGCCGCCGTTCATGAGTCCACTAGCGGTGACAGAGTTGTCATTAAACGGCGCTTGCCCACTGGTGGGATGCGTGAGCGCGCCCACGTGGGACGAGCGCGGCGTGTGGCTCGACGCGGACGTGAGATATGAGGGGGGCGCGTACATCGCAATACTCACGCAACTCAACCTGATGAAGCTCAAGGAAAAGAGTGAGTATCTCATTGTTTTATCTCTCTTTACTATGATTTTTTAATTAGATGCACTAAACTGCAAGCGTTTGGTTAGATATTATAATATTCATTTATAAATTTTGTGATATGACTCATTTAATTTATTATTCATCAGACCTTGGAAAGTGATAATTAATGTCTTCAATGGGTTGGTTTGTTTATCATTCTAATGTACTGTATGAAAAATACTAACGGTCCCGCCGAAGTTAGAGATACTTTACACCTCTACCACCAGCCCTTTTACGTCCCCACTGCAGGGGCTCAGGCCTTCCTTATGGATGGTTAAGGAGGATGGGCCATGACACTCCACGCTAGCCCAATGTATTTCAAACTCTCAAACTTAATTTTGCGTTTTTCTAATCATGAAAAAAGATCTTATGTCTTAAAAGTAATGTATGAATGAATAATAACTCATAGATATCATTTAGTGCTAAAGTGGCAACTGATAAAAAATCTAACTATAGTAATCTAAGAGATCGTGAAAAAAATGTGCGAGGGTGGCACGTAAGTCGCAATACTCACGCAACTGAACCTGATGAAGCTCAAGACGAGTGAGTGTCGTATTGTTATAGCTCTCTATTAGTTTAATGGCTAGTTTACACGTAATCAATTACGTAGTAATTTAGTTACATTATTTGGTCTAGGCTGTTAAAATTTGTAAAAGTCGAAACCACAGAAATAGATCTAGTTAGAAGGAACATGTTCGTCGATTTATATGGAGACCGAGCGTGCCCCATTTTATGTATCATGACGGTATCATGACGTATCATGACGTCACGAACTTAATTTAGTGATGGAAAACATAATTTCTCTTCAATCGAATACATGTTGTATTTGAAACAGCATACCAATTCTTATCGATTTAAAAACCGATATCGAACGACGGAGACCAATGTGTAACATTTTGCTTAAATATTATGTATATGTCACGAATGTAATTTAGTAAAACTGCACAAAATAGTACGTGCGGTGGCGTGACGGAGTCAGCGTAGTTGACGATCAAAATATCGGACCTTTGTCTTCATTGTGAATAGAAATAAGTATAAGCCTCTGTCTAACATTATTCGTATGACCAAATCATTTTACTTATACCGCATACATAATATCATATTTTTATCAGTAAGAACCGACAGCTAAAATGATAATTAGTTTTGACAGACAAAATGATAATACTAACGTATCGATAGAAAAAAAATGAGAAAGTCACAGACTTCAATTTAGAATTCAATATAAGTCGATTAATTGAGATCGAGATTGCGTCAATGACTACAAAACTAAATGGATCAATAATTTATTGTCACAATAATACAGTATCACATACTTTATATCAATATATGTTCAATACAAAAATACTCTGAATTTTATGATAATACTTACCATTTCACACTTTCTATTCCTGAGCTTACTGTACATATTATTTGATTCCTTATCTGAACAAGATGGGTCTATCTACGGCACAAATTGTATTACATTCATTAATTATATAAAACAAAATATTATAAAACAAAGTAACTATTTCATTTTCTATTTGCAGTAAAGTCAAAAACTACTAGTTTTCACCAATAGATAGAATGATGCCATGTATAATTTGCCTAAGCAAAATAATGTGTGCTGAGGCCACTATTAATATCCACTGTAATACAAAATATCACATTTGAAATCCTAACAGTAAACACCGTTTAGCTACTACTAAGCTAAACGGTGTTATTGTTCATTTAACTTCTTCTTTTATTTAATTCCCTCGCACAACTGTGTTTGAATCTGTAACTAAACAAAGATGTGCAAAAGAAATATTACACTGTCACTAAATATATTTCTGTGATACTATCTATTTATGTCACCTGATTTATCCATTAGATTCGGAAAATTACGGCTGTGACATACGGACGAACAGGCAGACTCATGTTCGATAGGATCGCTGGTAGATTACACTTTTTGTATGAAATAATGTAAAAAATCTTAAGGTATACTTTACCTTTTTTTCAGTTGTCATTATCACAACATCAATAGTCGGATATGCTGTTTTTATTACTCGTCGGTACTTTGATGGACCAGTAAAGGTATCTTCATAGAAATGAATTGAACAAATCCGACTGTTTTTTGTAGGATACCAATTTTTACGTCCTGTTGCTTCAATCCATTTTTTTTTTAATATATGGATCATTCGGAAAACTTAAAAAAAAATACAGTACAAATATTCAATATAAAAAATAAATTATCATTTCTTCTGCTTAAAAAACGATTTTTTTTAATCGGTTAAACAACATCGCATTGTACAGCACTATTCGCCATTTTTGTCAGAATTTGACCTTCAACAATTTGTCCTTGAATTATAGATCGATGGTTTTACAAGCACGGCAAATTTGGTTCGTCAAATTAAAGCCGTAATGGAAAGCTATTACTGGACTGGTGATCGTTTTGACGAAAATAATACGGAGCAAGAAAACAAATGATTTTTAATGCTTAATGGATATATCAAAACAAATAATTACTTACCGATGGAAGGAAATACCTCGATTATAAGATCCAACTATACTGGTGGTGTTTGAGCAGTTAATTATTGAACAACGCGTCATTTTAAATTTCACACCTAACGTTGAACTCGGATTACAATCGAAAGTAGACTGAGCCTCGCGGCGAGCAACGAAGCTGTCTAGACGTCGTTTCGGCACGCGAAGTACATACACTTTTTCCTTCTAACTAGATATATTTCTGTGGTCGAAACTATATGCCATTGGTTCGAAAATCTACGGCGGAAGACCTTATACTGAGAAGAACCGGCAATGAATTCACCAATTGCTGCTTTTTTCATTTTTTTCAACGGTATGAACAGACTCAGCTCTGCCCTCACTTCATTACGACCAAGCCGACCAGACCGTGCCAAGACGGTGTACGCAATATAAAACTTCATGAGCGAATGATACATGGAAAAGCAAATTGATATACGGGACTGAATCGGTTCCGGCGGGACATTTGAATTTACGTACCTAAAATACGGGACAAAAATAATGGACTTGACTGATTTTTTTATCTCTGTTAATTGCTTTACATATATTTATCATCGTTTTTAATTATTGCATGTTTATACTCGTATTTTGCTATAACTAGGTAACTGCTGTCAAGAGCGGATACTTATCTTGTGTCCATTTTACCAGCTATTGTTTAATTTGCAATGTATGAATGTTGGTTGTAAAATTTTGCGACTAAATTTAAAGCAATAATTAAATTCTAAATACATTATTATAAACTCCCAAGATGGCCGATCAAATACTAATAATATAGATATCAAATGAAAATGCCCCTGAGAGGATTACAATTGTATATATAAGCTTCTCGTTATTATTTCTGGAATAAGAAAGTTGAAAATCTTATTTCCTTTCATCTAAATATAAATTAAAAAAATATATTATTAAGTTGTATGATTATTTTTATTACAGACGTAACATTAGAAGATCAAATTTTAACAACGACTAAAACGCCCACTGAGAAAGAATCATGTTCGAACACGTCAGGAGATACAACACTCTTAGATAATTTGAAGGTAAGTTTTTTTAAAGTACTAATCTACCTAGTGAAAGTTGACCATTATCTGTCCCTACTTCTCGCGAAGCGGAATAACTCGGCCCGCTATTCCCTTCAGACTTTCTGATATTTCATAGCTAAGAATTCTTCCTTTTTCCAGAATTAAAGGTACGCAAGTTATCTAAATAATTTTCTTTGAACCGTGGTAAAAATATCTATTTGATTTTTACTAGATGCTTAAAACTTATAATGCTTGATGGCTTTAAATTTATTTTTGTGTGTATATATTAACATAAAATGTAACGAAAGTTTTAAGGCGACATTATTTTCTTTTACATTTTGATTAGATTTTCATAAATTGAAAACTGCAAAAAGAGTATTAGAGTGAAATATATTTTATACTAGCTAAGCTTCCATGGCAAATTTGGAATAAAAGTGTCTAGAAATTAAATCTTAAATACGAAATTAATTTTCCATTTCAATTTTCAAGTTTTATACTTTTAACCCCTCTTTTGTTCTTTTCTCCTACGCTGACGCCCGTCCGCAAACGTCAACGTCAGCTGTAGTGTCCCATAAACATTGTGTTTATTGTCACCTTTCTTAGTCATTTACTTCTAGTCAGTCGGCTTTAATGTATAAGATGGGTTATATATGCTTTAAATTTCTATTTCATATTATATTACGTAGAAACGTAAACCCGCCATATACGATTCTGATGTGGAAGATTCGGCGGAATCCAGTAGCGACGACGAGAGCCCTCCTGTACAACCAGTCGATAGTAACATCACCATTCCCATTTCAGAATCAGTGTAAGTAAATAATTCAATGTAACTCGTTGCATACGTTATTGACAGAGGTCGCTGTTGATTTGAAGGTATCTTTCAATTTATATTTTAGGTCATCAACACCAGAGGGTACTTCTTCTAAAAAGAAATTTCTAAAAATGGTGGACAAAATAGCAACCAATAAGTATTTCCAACAGGTTAGTGTTATAATAAGTAATACATTTATTTTGTATTTAGGTACTGTCAATATTGCGTCAGGTTATACAAATCTGTCAACCCATGCCCATTGGTGGGTCTAAAATGTTAATGCAGTCGGAACCATCGGGTTAACGTTAACGTAGTTTCTGAAGCACTGGGGTGCTATAAATTACAAATTTTCGATCATTATTCCTATGACTATCCCTTGCGAAAATTGCTTGAATTCCTAATAATTCGTCAAACTTAAATTTTACAATCCCAGGCATATCCACACTATGATAACATAATAATATATAGCAAAAATAGCGTTACGTGATGGGTTAATTAACATGTTATCTGACTCGGAACTCAATGCTACCCCGCACGATGCCCCGCCGTCGCCATGCGAGCTCAGTAGCGATAGCATATCTGTTATATGTTACATGTCTTGGCACTTTTGAATTCTTGAGTTACTGTCTTGCCGTGAGTTGTTATTTTTATCGGATTTTTGTTTCTTTTTTTAGTTTATTTATGATAGAATTTACTATCACAAATACTAGTTTTTTTTTTTTCATAAAATATAAATATAAGTAATAAGTTCGACATGATATTTTTTTTGCGCGCTGTACTTTACACAAACGTCATGTCTCTCGCCTGGCATGAACCTATTTAGTCGCCTGTGATAATTATATATTAATGTACAGGTAACAGATTATAAGTACGTGAAGCGTGCGATGGAGGGGTTGTCCAATACTGACATCAAGTTGCATTTAGAAATAGAAGGACTGGAAGGTCGCCTCGCTATCAACCTACCGCCGCCGCCTCATGATCGCATTTGGATTGGGTAAGTCGACATTTTGTATTTATATAATAATAGGATGGAATATTCAAAATTGTGTATTTATTATGTAGAACAGAATATACAAGGACATTCCTTATTCTTCGAAAAGGTTATCGATTGATTTAACGTTTTTTTTAATAATATACTTGTGCCGCGATCCATAGTGACCCGATGTGATATTACTTAACAACCTCCGTAATTAAATGGTTCTCTGAGATTTCGGATTATACGCGGGTGACAAACGCTATAATTTGCACGGGCAAAATCGTGGAAAAACAGCTGGTATTAACTTTATTTGAAATTCGTTTATATTGATACCGAGAATTACACAACACTAGCACTAGTTATTACGACGCGTGCGCATCGAAGACTGACACGATTTAGTCGGTTGTCAGCTTATATAGTCGCCATCTTCCATGTGATCGTCGTAGAGTATCGCAAGATGGCGTGACTAGTGTCGACTTGAGGTGAAATCATATTATTAAATTGTGAACACTAGTATTTTAATATTTTGAGTCGACTAATGCTGTTCTAGATATACGTTCATAGCTCAATATTATTGTTATTAGGTTCCGTACTAATCCACAATTGGTGCTGAAAGCGCGTCCAGCAGTGGGCGCACGCACTCTACGTTTCGCTCACATAACCAACTGGATAGAACAGAAACTCACCAAGGAGTTCGAGAAAGTTCTAGTGTTACCCAACATGGAGGACATCATAGTGGACCTCATGACGCCAACGCCTGTCGAGTTTGAATAGTAAGTTCATTAACGGGCAAAATAACACGTACGAATTAACATGAAACCCGAAGACTATTCGATATATCTTGTCTGATATGACCTTTTGTCCCCCCCCCCCTTCTTTTGTTAATGGGAAAATGCACCTTATGTCTTAAATTTCCAGCCATTATAGCACAGTCGTCGAAAAGAAAGAATTGACAAAATTAGCTAGATGCATCTGTGCGAGCGCAATAGTAATATACCCAAAGTTCAACCCACTACGGAATAATATAGGGGGAGAAGGAGAGCCGTGGATCTTCCGGGGTTCCCATGACCTTGTTAGTGTTGGGTTATACTAGTATTATGTAATACTTGATATAAATATCTATTTGACTAATGAGTACAATCACAAAATAATTAGTCATTTAGATTGAGACTGCTAGATTAATATTTCTATTTCTTTTTCAGATAAAGTTGAAAGTTCAATGAGACAACATTTTAAGTGTTCCGAATTTAGCATGTGAATAGTTTTAACATTATGGAACACTGGTTTCTATAAAGACATTGGGGCCTCAAAATTGCCAAAATGTTTGAATATTATTTTGTAGGATATATTTATATTGTTTGATATGTCCCGAAATTAATGAAAGTTGTTTATGAAACACTTGAAGCATATTGTTGATGAAATCGATATTTCGTTCGATAATTTCAGGGAATAAACCTAATTGTATGCAACGATTATATACAAAAAACGTGGCACTTTAGACAGTAATCGTTTGAAAGTGTAGGGTAGTATTTTATAAGGTAGATTTTATTTTTTGACAAAGTTAGGTTGTTTTTTCTTTTTTTGTACAACAAATTTATTGTTAAGAGTTATTAAAAAAATATACAGAGGCAAGATTTACTAGGTACAATAATTTTCAGTTAACGTTACATTATTGCGCATTTTTTTTTTTTCATTGTAGTTAAGTATCAATATATAGGCCCATAATTGCTGTGATGTATATCATTGATTTGTATTAATAAGTTGTTTAAGTTATGTTAATTTTTTATAATTGTTTAAGTATTATCACGTATGGAAAACAATTATTATGATCACCCTTTTTTTATTTGACAAAGCTATTTTTATTCAAAAGTAGGGGACGGTCACTAATTTTTAACTGTCTGTCCGTCAGGTAAATTATTTGAAGAATACTAAATAGGTATTTATTATTTTTTGCGTATAAACTTACGGCGATACATTGTCACGCCTTTGTGCATTTTCTATGTAGTTGTGACGTAGTGAGCTCCCGCTCATCAACTTCAATGCCTTATATATTATCTAAGCAATTTCTTTTTCAATTGAAGCAAGAAAAATACGTATTTAATATTTTTCTATTATTTGTCTGATGGACTAAATAGAACTTCTCTCTTTTTATCCTGGCATTATCCCTATTTTTTAATTATAATTAATTGTTTCGCTCGCCCTAAAAAATGCCAACGAGCTTCTTCTGGGTAGATATAAATAATTTGACAATAATTCCGTCTTCACCTTTAAATGTATATTCGAAATAAAATTTTATATAAAGAAATAAAAATATATTACCAATGATATATGAATGTTTCAAGCAATATATTTTCTTGTAGAGCATTGGTAAATATATATGTTTGACAAGTATATTGAGAACTTCTTTTTCTACTTTCAACCTTAAAATTTTTTTTCATTTATTTTTAAAACCTGTTTATAAGGGAGAAATAATTGGTGCTGTATTATAAACGGTTACATACACGATATTTGCGCTAATATTGTGTTTGTCTTGTAATGTGTGGAGGGACTGTAATGTGTTACCCTCCAATCCGCATTGGGCCAGCGTGGAGGGTCATGGCCCATCCTCCTTAACCATCCATAAGGAAGGCCTGAGCCCCTGCAGTGGGGACGTAAAAAGGCTGGTGGTGGTGGTGGTGTGGAGGGAGGTACTATATTGTAATTTGGAGATTGTGCAATGAAACGAGCAGACATTTTTTAACACATTTTATTAATGGTTATAAAAAAAAATAATCTTATGTATATCATTCATTTTTATGTCAAATATCAAACAACAAGTATGGAAAATTATTATTAACGAATTCATAGTACCGTCATTTATGCTACGCTATAGTTGAACTTAAAATCGTATTTTGGCCTATATAAATCGCTGCTATTGATAGTTGAATAGCGGTTTTCTTTTATAAATAGTATGAGATTGTGTTAATGAAATTTTCAATATCTAGCGGTAACGTGTCACACGGCATTACCTAGGTTCAAATTGTAGCTAGTGGCAATTTTTTATATTACTTTTATCATATTTCATTATATTAACATCCATATTAAAGATATGACAAAAAGATTACCAAACCGTTTTCTTGGATATATTATTTTCTATGTATGCTTCTCACTTTTAAATATGCTTCGCAAGCTTTAGTAAAATATATTATAATTCATTTAATGTACAAAATGTCATTTATTTTTAATATACATAATATGTATGATAATATGTTGGTAATAATATGTATGAAATAGATGGTAATAATTTTAATGCGAATTCGTAATATTATAAATTCATACATTTTCAATCTTATTTGCTTTATGAATTAAGTTTTTGCAGTATTTTTTATATTTCTAAAGATGCGATATGCGTTTTGTAAATGTACCTATTGACAGAACTATTTCACATTAAGAGTGTCGTCACATAACAGGCGGGACGATGCGTCGAAGGGACGGTGTTCAGTATTATGTACTTCTACAGATAATATACAACTACTTAGTACTTGTCCATTAGGGCTGTAGACGACATTTTAATATTTTTGTTTTATAAATATTTAAAGTATCATTCACATAATAAGATGAAAACTAAAAATAAATTTAATTTTCAAAATTCTCCGCGAAAAGCAATCTTCTGTCATGGCGTCGCTATGACGTCACGCCCCACTAAAACTCTAAGTTCTGATATAAGTAGAGGGGCTGTGACGTCACGCGTCCTTTACGGTTAATGTAAAATAAGTTTTTTAAAAGACTATATACTTTTTGATGTTTCTTTGACATTTATCAAACACATTGTAGTGTGTGGAAGGTTTATGATGATGGATGTATTTTCAGTCAATAATAGACATCTCTTTTTATCACGATTTATCCCCAAAGTGCTAGTAATAAAAGAAAGTTTCACATAGCAACATAATGCTTGGCCAATACGCTCAGTGTGACCACTTGTAACGTGGTACTGGTAAGTACATTATTAAAGAAAACCGTCCTGCTGACGTTCCCTTTAGTCCTTGATGTAACGAAACCTTAAATACATATGCTTCTGAGTTATAAACTAAGTTTAAATGAATTATTGTTAGGTATATTTATAATCATTATTGCTTTCACTTTCGAAGTATTGTTGCAAGAAACGAATGCACATATTCAATTAATTAATTTTCTATGAATTCACTTCGGCTTTCTTATATTTTAAATTAATTGATGTTACTTGAAATATATCCCTTTCCTTGTTATAATAACTTTACCTGAATTTTGGAGATTATATTGCAGCATTTCAATATTATTATTTGGTGTTAGTTAAAAAAAAGTGATTTATTAGACAGTTTTTTAAATGATCGTAATGATTGTCTTTAATATTACTAAATAGAAATTTGATTTAAACAGATTAAAAATAGTTCACCGAGGTTTACTATATTCTCAAATGCTTTCTGGACGTAAAACTGGCTTTGCTATTATGTTATAATTATTTCCCAATATATTTTCAGTGTTAAAAGACACTTTAATATTTAAATGATTAAATAAAAAAATTAAAGAGAACGAGTCGCAATACGTAACTTAGGAGTCTTATGAATTTTGATCGTTGTTGTTGTTTAATTATCACACTGTTACTAATACTTAATATTTAATACCAAAGGATCAAAGTTTTGAGTTTCGATGGGAATAGAATAGACTATTTTGACAAGAAGAAAGTTAATTCTCGTCAAAATAACGGTCAGGCCCTTCGAGCCCCAAAGTTTTTGAAATATTCCGTTGTGATTTAATTTTCGCTGTGTACACATATCACTAAACTTGGAAGCTAATCATGTACCTGTTGTATTATCACAAATACCCATACTGTTTTATAAGACTATATCAAATTAAAACTCTCTATTAAAAATATGTATATTTGTTTGTATTTAATTAATGAAAACTGACTGATTGCAGTGAATATTTATGATATTTGATAGTTTCGTCTCCAAGAAGTTTCATTTTGATTTTATTTATATATTTATCGTTTTGTTACATAATGAAATATTAATGTTTTAGTTCAAATTAATGCATATTTTTGTTATTTATTATAGCTGTGATTGTCAGCAACTGAACCTTTCACAGTGTACCAAATCGAATATATGTCTATGTAAATAATATTATGAAATTATAAAGTGTTTATGTGATACTATGTATAGTTAAGAATTAAACCGTGCCGAGTAGTTTTTCTATGTGGTATCAGTTGTGATTTTTTCAATAAACAAACTGCTGTAATATATATTGTTTTCATTTAACGGTATTTGCAAATGACTACCTCAGTGGTCGAGTGGTTCGCACGCGGATTTCAAGGTGTCACCGTCTATTAAAGGTTCGAATACCAGTCGAGTCAATGCAGTAAATACTTTTTTTATATTGTCTTGGTTCTGGGTGTTGTGGTACATTAATTTTTAAAAGCTACTTAATTTGAGTTCTGCGACTCTACCGTGTAACTGAAAAGTCGGTTGTTTGTATCATTACCCTGTCCCTATACTTGCGGCAATGCTGTGATGGCGTCAGTACGGATATTTCGCATTATTTCAAATAATTTGAGAACGTTTACTTGAGTCTTACACTGATGAATTGAATTATGAGTGAAACGGTTAAGGTATTAATCTATACTAATATTATAAAGCTGAAGAGTTTGTTTGAACGCGCTAATCTCAGGAACTACTGGTTCGAATTGAAAAATTCTTTTTGTGTTGAATAGACCATTTATCGAGGAAGGCTTTAGGCTATATAACATCACGCTGCAACTATTAGGAGCGATGAAATAATGGAAAACGCGGACGAAGTCGCTGGCGGCCAGTAGTTATTGATATGTATAAACTAAAGGGTATCTGGCAAGCACATTTGACTTTCATTCATAATTAAAGTAAATATACATTATACTTGCCACTAAAATATGAGACTAGAATATTTGATTATAGTAGTCGGAATGTTGAAAAACTTGGTAAGTAGTTCAGTAACTAAAATCACAGTAGATTTTATGCGTTATTCATGCTACTTCCTGGTAATCGACCACTCTTAACAATGGTGAATACTCGTAGTTAGTCAGGTTGCAAGGTTTTATGAATACATGCTATAATTACGTTGTAATAAAAATGACCGTAAAATTAGATATATTTGTACTTGTAGCGCTGCTGGATTGACGTCATACGGAAGCGCCACATTATCTAAAAATATTTGACTAGTAATTTATCAGAGTTCTAGCCACAGGCAATGTCACTGCCTGCGCAACGTGAGTCTCGTTTCCGAAACAAAATAATTTGTCCCTATTTCGTACCGGATTGATAATGAAGGGCTTTGATGAGTGAAGAATTCATTTTAAAATCCAAGAGGGTAGCGCTGCTAGACTGACAGGCGATTAAAGCATGACGCTGATTTTAAAGATAGGTAGCTATCGGGAAAATTTACTGGATGATTATATCGACGCTGGAAAACAAACACGTAGTAACCTGCAAATCCAAAATGGATATTTAAAGTTGATATAAAGATTTTTTTATTTAAAAAAAATCTTATAAATTGACTAAGGAACACCTTATTTGTTACCGTTTATAGGAATTATTGATTGAAAAAAATAAAGCTTTTCTGCTCTGAACAACACTTTTGGTTTTGCGGGTTACTACGTGTTTGCTTTCCAGTGACAAACTCGAGAAACGCTTTGTCTACACTCATTTGTCAGTTTCTCGGGTCGAGAGTGTTCTCGCGTTCGTCATGCTACGCGTGCAGCGTCGATATACACATGTCGGGTTATCACAATATGTCAAATACCTGCAATGGATTTCGACCTCTACCTTCAATGTATTATGGTTTTAAATTGAGTGGGGTAATTTGTCAGTTTTGTATAGTCTGACGTGCAATACGTATGTACAAGTGGAACGATTAGCTAACGTGTTTTGTAGCTATTTAGAGTTAAAAATAATAAAGCAATAAAACTTCACCAGTAAAGTTTAAACACTTTTATTCAACATTTTTGTTTTTATACTTATATAAATTTGTTGAAACAGTATAAAGGTCAATATCATTATAACTCTATAATGGTATATACAATTAGGCACTGTAGGATAATAACATTCGTTGTATTCTATATCACATATCAACAATAATCTATAAAACTGTACATAATATATTACTAAAGTATTCGCAGATTAATTATATATTTCTTTTCTCAAATATTAGGGTTTTAATTATGAAATTGTTAATTGTACGCAATTGCTGTTTTTACTTGAATTTGATTGATAAAATTGTTATATTTTGCATAGCTAAATAGCACAAAGCCTCTTAATGTAAGTTTTTTGACATACGTTCACCGTCGATCGTGAGTGCGTTAAGTTTTTGGTATGGAATCCGGCACAGCGCACCGTAGAAAATGGTAGAACAAGAGCATATCAAAAATACTTTTTAGGAATATCATAATTTGTTTAATTTGGTGATTTTATTAGGATCTCAAATAATCGAATTATAATATTCATTAAGTTTTTTTATCGAAAATGCACGAAGTTACATTTTTTTCATAGGTAGAAGTACATAGAAGACGGGAGTGCCGAACTCGAGTCTTCGCATATACATGTTTCAAAACCATATTGTGCAAGATATATTGGGTACATATATGCAGTATTATACATTTTTGGAAAGGTTATTTCATGCTTATTACGTTACAGCTTTTTAATTTCTAAAGCAGCGACAATTATGTCAGTAAGTAATTAAAAAGTGGCATACCTTATTTTTTACTTTTCTTTTTTTCGTCTAAGGTTTTCAATATTACCCACGACTCCCCACGCGCAACTTTTTATGTTAATTGATAGTCTAACTATTCAGTAACAGAATACAAAAAAAACAGCTGCGGAAGTTTGCGGTTTTAGAAAATATAAGAAATAATGTGTGAAAAGTCGGAACATAAAAATCAGTATCTTTTGCGGTTTACCACAGACACCGTTCACAAGGACAATAATTATATTACTTTTGGAATATTTTATTTATTTAGCGATAACAAAGGAATCTTATCAAATTTGCACTCGTTATGCGTGAGAAATTACTAGATAATAATTATGTGGGTACCAATTTGATATTGGAAAATGGGTATATAAAGGGAAGCAAAAACTATTCGAGCCATCTTCATCGGTGTAACTTCAAGTGAAGTAAAGCTCATCTACGCCTGAAATTTCCGCAAATTGTGAAGCATTAAAATGTCTTCCTTTAGCTGTATTAAACGCGAATTTATAATCCCTTATATCGAGGGCGGCAGGACCATAGAATCATTATCCAAAGTTTTAGTGGAAAGCCTCAATGTTTCTGAAAATAAATTGTGTTTTATTGTTAGTGATATACAAAGGCATATTCTTCCTACATTCAACAAGCGCTGGGACCAAGCATCTCGCAAAAAAGAAACATTTATAAAGAAGAATGGTGCTTGGCTGGACTCAGGGTATTTTTTACATTTCCCGGACTCCGAACAAGATTCTACGCCATCAACATCTGGCCAGCGAGGAAGAGCTTGCGTGCCTTATAGTGACTCCTCAGAATCTACCAAGAAGAGGAAAAACACTCTTCTACTCCAAGAATATGGCTTCGAGCATATAAAAAACGCTTTTGTGCAGGGACTACGGGCCTTAGGTGAGTACGAAGAAGCTCATCTTGTAGAAGAATTAAGAAACGCTGACACTCAAAAGAAATTTGACCTCCGTAATATGTGGAATAACTTAGACCAGATGAAGACTCTTTCCGATGAGGAAGCATTGAGTGCTTTTATAGATTTGGATCTAACAAAAGCACAATACATGTACCTGAGAAACTTAACCAACGAACGAAAATGTTGCATATTCCCGCCTTACTACAAAATACAAGAAATAAAAAAATCTTGTTATCCACCATTATCAACTCTAGAAATTACAAATACTTATGCTAAAGTAATTAATATTCAAGATTTATTGGATCACACTGTTGCTAGAATTTTAAAAATCGAGTCTGTTTTCCAAGAACAATATAGAACATTGACCCTTTACTGTAAATGGGGATGTGATGGTTCATCTGGTCAAAGCCAATACAAGCAAACACTTCCAGAAGAATCGGAAACCGTTTCAGATGCTAATTTGTTCATTACTTCATTGGTCCCCATCAGATTAGTTGATAAACAGTCGGGATTTGTTGTTTGGCAAAATCCGTACCTTCATCTGTTCGTTTTTGTAGACCCATTTCTATTGAGTTTTGTAAGGAAACTTCAGTAAAAACCAAGGCAGTTGTGGATGATATTAGTAGACAAATTGGGGCTTTACAAGCATCACTGATAAACAAAAATGGTGTTTTAGTAAATGTGAAGCATGAACTATATCTTACAATGATCGATGGAAAGGTGGCTCAGGTTCTTACAGATACTCCATCTGGTTCCACATGCACGATATGTGGGGCTACTCCACGGCTAATGAATGACCTATCGAAAGTAATTGTCAGACCTGAAAACGAAAGCGCCTACCAATACGGATTGTCCACCTTACACGCCTGGATTCGCTGCATGGAAATGATATTGCATATTTCCTATAATCTTTCCTACAGGACTTGGTCTGCTTCAACTGAAGAAAAAAAGAGATTAAAAAAGGAAAAGAAGGAACTCGTTCAAAAACGATTCAGGGAAGAGTTGGGATTAATCGTCGACAAACCTCGGCAAGTTAGCGGGAACACAAACGATGGCAATACCGCACGAAGTTTTTTTTTTAATTACACTTGCTCAGCGAAATTACGGGTGTAGACGAAACATTTATTAAACGCCTGTATATTATCTTACAAGTTCTATCTTCTGGAAACATGATTGATTCCAAAAAGTTTGGAGTATATGCAATAGAAACTGCAAGAATATATGTGAGTAATTATGATTGGTATTATATGGCGTCCTCCGTTCATAAAATTCTCATACACGGAGAAAACGTTATCAAACATTTTGCAGTGCTTCCTATTGGACAGCTGTCGGAAGACGCACAAGAGTCTCGCAACAAAAACTACAGAAACATGCGACTTCATCATGCCAGAAAATGTTCCCGGTCTGCAACAAATGAAGATGTCTTTAAAATGCTTTTGTGCACTTCAGATCCATATATAACAAGTTTAAGAAAACCATACTTAAGAAATGTAAAAAATCTTGAAGTAGAGGCAGTAAGTCTTTTAAAAGTGGCACCTGAAAGTGAACGCACATTTACTGACCCTGATCCTGAAGCAATATAGGTACCTACCAAAATAAAAATAATATTGATATTTAGTTATTAGCAATGTTTGTAACGAGCTATATCAATTTGTGAAGCTACAGGCCTAGCACAGTTTGATTGTTCAGCAAAAAAAAAATCTTTTGTATTTTTTATTAATTGGGTAATTGTATTTAACCATAGTTTTAGCCTTTGTAGTCATTAAAACTTGTCTTTCTTTCGGAATTATTTTTTTACCATTTTATTTTTGTGTTTTTCCCATTTTTTTACTTCTATGACATATAACATATATGTATATGTATATAGAAAAACACTACAAATTATACATCATTTGAATTTCCAAACCTCACTGAATATTTGTACCAAATTTCATTGCGGTACTACAAAAAAATCATGAAGTTATAATTTTTGTTCCGATAACGACCGATTCTGCCCACCGTGCAGCGCCCCTGGTAACTACCAAGAACTACTAATCTCCATACAAATTCTTAACACGCTCACTAGTGAACGCGTTAAATTAAAACTTACACTTTCCACTCTGAACTCAAATGTATATTCACTTATCCCTATTTATTGCAAATAAAGACACGGATTGTTTGATTTTCAATTATAAATCTTAACAATCAACTGTAGGTATTCTTCAATTTCATACTTTAACCCCTAATATATTTATTATTGCATTATTCACTGCTACTGGAAGCACTAATCGAAGACACTAACTGCTATACACTCTTAAAGCAAATTTTTTTTTTTATAATAAGTAATAAGTTTATCGAATGGTAAATACTGTCGGTATAATTGTTTGCAGCAATGAAATATATTTATGTACCTAATTAAACAATTTTGCATACTACATACTTTGTTCGTAACATGTGAAGCTAAATTAATATGGCTACGACCAATCATGGCCTTAACAATAATATATGTACAAAGTTGAGATCAACCTTATATCTAGGTACTTATTGAAGATCTTTATAAAATATTTTGGCACTCTGGACCACAATTTCTCCAACTAATCGTTATAATATACATAAAATATATCTTACATGAATAATATCTGTACAATATTGCAAATAGGCAAGCGAAATATAATTTCATCCAACAACCTCAATAAACTCTATTTATTAAAGCGATTTGAACTAAAAATTTATATATAATTCAATCTCAATTATCTTCTGCAACATGCTAGGTATCTTTTACATTTTTATATCCTACCTGATCAATTGTTACTTGTTTATATACATGATTCATTATAAAAATACTCACACCCCAACATTATATGTAAATTCTATTCAGATTGTATTCAGGAATGTCATTAAAATCGCTTTAATAATAATATTAGCTTTACGCAAAAAGCATTTAAAGTTATAAAATAAAATGTTGGCTGTTACACAAGTGAAATTCAACAAATGATACACGTTTTCGTTATCGAATAACATTTAGGAACTAGCCTAAAGTAGAATCAGAGTTGGATACTCTCTCTCTCTCTAATATCAGGTTGTGCGATATATTAACTAGTAATTTTAATATTTTTACGAGGTTTCTCAATAGGTAATCAATTAAATCAGCGATAACAGAATCGCTAAAACTTATTGACCGTCTATAATAACATATAGAGGCCCCACTTCCCAGGTATAATAGTTCAGAAGTATTGAACTAAAGGTTCAATAACGACTGGATGCTACATCACACAGTTTATTTATTCCTTCACCTTAATATGATAGAGATACGGCCGGTTTCTAAATTGAGAAAAGAATAAAATTCTCAATAACTTAAGTTTTTACATTATGGCAAAAAGTCCTATTTTTATGATAAAAAATTATAAATCAGCATTTAAAACCCGTTTAATTGACGTTTAAAATGGCTAAAGCACGGTTTGAGACGTGCTCAACTTCAAATTCTCAATTCAGAAACCGGGTGATAGTGTTCTATACCGAAGATTTTAGAAACCAATACAGGTCACACGCTTTCCACGTCACCGCACAGAGAACATTCATTTGTCGCATCAAGCCCGGATGGCCTGTGTCGTAATACATCGTCAAATCAGTCTTTAAACACTTGACGATCGTAAGGAACCACGTCAATGCTGCAACAAGCAATGTGCTGTACCGTCAGCGTTCCGCTTCTCAACTAAGTCAGTCCACTGATCGAGCCTGGGCGCGCACACGAGCGAGTACCGCCCGAGGCGTCGGCGCGCCATCACCAGGAACTCACCCGGGCCCGCTGCGGCGCCGCACACCGCCGGCACGTGTACGTGCGCGTGCAAACTGCGTGCGCGCCTACCGCGACGGTTACGATGCGTCGTACTCTCCAAACTATTGTCTACCTCATACCTGATAGAATAAATTTATATATTCTATTAATTTTTCTTAATAAATGACACCATTGTGTCAAAAAAGTAAAAAAAATTTAAAGGCTTCAATTATGCTGATGTTTACGTAATAATAGCATCTCAATAATTGGAGTCTAAACCACTTCATCATCATCAGTCCTTTTACGTCCCCACTGCAGGGGCTCAGGCCTTCCTTATGGATGGTTAAGGAGGATGGGCCATGACCCTCCACGCTGGCCCAATGCGGATTGGAGGGTATTAACGACTGCTAATGCAGCCGGGACCAACGGCTTAACGTGCCTTCCGAAACACGGAGTAGCTGTTAGTAACGTTTGCGGGCCACGGCGCTTATCCATTACGCCACCGAGCTACTCAACTTCCTACTATCTACTATCATTAGTGCCATATGTTCTTTAAATCAATGGTGAAAGATATGTTTTTTATTTTGTAATCTAGTAACAAGAACTTTGTAATAAAGGGTTGTAGTTGAAGAGCTATTGACTTTCCATAATCACGCTAATATTAGCAGATTTGCACTACTGGCCAATTGAAAACCAGCGTCTGACTTCCAGTTTGCAAGCTGCATTTTTACGTAATAATCGCATCTATATAGAATCTCACCGACTTGTATTTTATCTATTTATATTATAAGAAATTCAATGCCAATAATTATTACCTGTAGTATTCTCCATCTTCAGCTGGTTCGTGGAGGTCTTTCCTGTCTTCCCCTGCATGTGTGGTGGCGCGGATAAGCTTTGTAATCCGTAGCGTAAGCTGCGTCGTGTCCAAGTCCTCGCGTTGATCAGTACGTACGAAAATGCCTCGGGACACTACAACATTTATATAAAATTTAATTTGAAAATTCAAAAAGCAATGTACAAGCAGCGATGCATAAATATCTTCTCTTTAGATAATAGCGATGTCCACAAACAGACAAACCGCTTTTAAAGAAACACATTTCACCCCATTCATTCAAAGATTTATTATTAATCACATTAGACTTACACAAGTCTTAATTTTATTTATTATTTATATTGTTTTTGTAGAAAAATGGTACACGATTCAAAATTGCTTATAATAAGCTCACTAAAATAAATTTAGTAACATTATGTTTTACATAAACACAAAAAATATATAAAAGACGATTAATAAAACTTAAATCATCTAATAAAAACAAAGCCCTATTCATATATCTATTAAATTTAATGCACATTAAATTATTTTATAATATACCCATAACCGTTACACTAGAAATATTTAAATGTAATGACGTCAGCGCCATTTATTTCAGAAAAAAATCTTCAAAGATGTCTCGCCCATAGTATAGATATAAATATAGATTGGTTAACTATTAATCTGTGTCCCCATTGTCCGCGTCGCAACAAGTTTTTTGCTGGTCCATGAGTAAGCGCAAATGTAACCTTTTTTCTATCGCAAGCTTTTGTTTGAGCGAGATAAGTGAATAGCTCCAGTCTTTGGTAAACGGTCATCAACCCGGTACCGCCCCGAAAACCTATAATTATACCGAATATATTAGACAAACCATCATGTCTGTCTAACTTATTTCTGTTCCCACATAATGTCTGTTATTGCTTTAATATATATCAACGTCCATGTGATGGCAGAAGCAATTCATTGATTTATTATATTACGAAAATGTATATTAAAATATAATAAATTGAAGATTATTATTAATTTTTCATAAGATATTAAAAGAGACACATAATTCATTTATTGTTGTAAGAAAAAGACATCAACGCACCACGCTGCTCGCATAACTACCGTGTGGTGTACTACCCAAACATTTCTCTACCTACAAGGTTTATATGTCGTGCTTATAAAAACATCCGTAATTATTATATGGCATGACAGACAAAATTTCAATGATACGTGATCGAGAGGGCTAATGCTGGCCGCCCACTGGCCCGCGGAGCGCGCTCTGAGATTACTCGCCGACTATTATCATTTATCAAACAAGAAAAAGTCAACATCAACTCCCTGCCGCGTCGCGTGCCCGCTCGCTAGACTAGTTTGTCCAGTGCACGAGTCGGGTATACTCATTATGTGACCGTAAAGTGAGTTTAGAAGAACCTAGATATGTCAACTGTCCTGTAAGCTTCCGTATGTTTCGTAGCATTTGCAAGTTGATGTCTTCCAGGAAAATACATTAAAATTAACGGTTATAACAAACATTTTTATTCTTTCTTTAAAAAATACATAATTAATTTTAAATTTGCAAAATGCGTTGTTAACTGAATATTTGGGTAGTTTTATAAAATGAAAATTGTTTCTGAGTAATAAGGCTTTAATTTAATTGCACGTTGCGGAATGAAGATTACGGCGACAAATTACGGTGCGGTGCATCGTGGATGTCGGTTGATTAACATTCTGTGGGACGCGCGGCTCCTGGTTTTCACCTCGGTTATTACTGCGGTCGGGCAATCAACACGATCGCGTTATGAGATACGTACGAAATTGTCAGATGCGAATTTGGGACACCTACTATCAAGGGTCTACATGCTAGCAGATTAATGAGAGGTTCTTTCTTTTTTCAAGTTAATTTAAAAGAGTTTGATAGATATATTGCAAGTCTGTGCGGAAGAAACTGGACGCACAAAGCCCAGGATAGAAAGAAATGGCGTGAGATTGATACCCAGCTACGGGTAACGAAAATCTGATAAAAAAATTGTTTATCTTTCTTTTATGTAACGGTTATGGTATGATTGTACTGTGATGAGTAGAGGTTGTAGTTGGATGTCACACAGGCGACATTCTACTCCAAAAAAGCTCTTTATTTACAGGGGACGATTTATAAAAAATTGGCTACTCTGTAACTTTCATACCAACGTCCATACCAAAACCCATATTTAAAACAGTTTAAGCATCACAACTTACCTAGATCGCTAGTGCAGAAAGCTAGTTCCAATTCAGCTTCAGAACAAGGTCTACAGTCGGCAGTAGCGGGGTCGTAATGTCGTCTCAGGAGTGGCCGGGCTTCATATTTGAAGATGGCTTCGCTTCGTGTGGTGCCTTCTTCTGGTTCAGCTTCAACGTACAGGGCAGCTCTGCCCTTACGGCTGCGGAAGCATCGTAGCTCTTTGGGATTTCCATCATCTGGTGCATACAGAGGCACTAGACGTTGGGTACCCTCTACGAACAGACGAACTGGAAACCTCTGAGGGGCTTCTGGAAAAGATAACAAATCGCGTGAATAAAACTTACAACTCTAGTTGATGTTGCCGCAAAAAACTATAGATAAAAACAATTTTTAAATGTTAACATTCCTGCTATTCTTGATAAACAACATGCTTGAAGGTAAGAGATAAGCAACGAAAATTATGCGTTTATTGACCAAGTCCATGTAAAGAAGATTTGATAAAGAACCGAGATAACTTTGTCCTGTCCGAGAGCTCCGAGATTTTGTAGTTTTTTGAGATGTTTACGATAAAAACTATACATAATGTTTATTAAGACATATTTTAGAATCGCTATTACATGATGCTTTAACGACTGATTTATTGAATACTTGGTTATAGAAATAAGCAACTTTGTAAAAATATTATAATTTACGTTTTACGAGAAACCTATCACAACTACACATACAACATTATATTTTTCTCATAAAGCATGCCCAATTAATATATACAAACCTGTATCATTGAACCTCTCATTATGAAAGAGATCGGGTGGATCGGGCCGCCTGATGACCCTCACGCAAACTCTGAACTCTCGTTCGTCCGCAGGCAGCGGCGGTCGGAACATCAGCCGTAGGGCGCCCCGCGGGTACACCCAGGACACCGAACCTTCGCGACACCTCAGGTATACAGGCGTCACCCCCCGCTCCGTATACGAAGTTAGGCCACTAATGAGGAAAAGAAAACAATAGATTAGCTTATATAGCTTGCCATCCTATCCTATTATAACGCTAATGCTTACTGACAATTGTTTTATTATGATTAGTTTAATACTCCACACTCGGATCACGTGGACTAGTAATGTTATAAATACTTTTTCATTTGTGAGGATTTTTAATTCAAATTCCTTTTCTCTTAAAAAACATTTTTCATAAACGAGTTATACTCGAAACGTTTTAACCTAAAGCGGCATAAGAACTTGCATATATTTTGGAAAAGCGTGAAGTTAACTGAACACGTTTTTATATATTTAGTTTTGGGCCGTTGCCATATATTACCAATACGGAAAGTAGTTTTAATCATATTTAGACAATTTGATTGGGATACGACCGCTACCGAAGACGTTAAAATTTAAAAGAAAGCTCATTAGGTATGCGAGACGCGCGCTGTGACGCCGCGAGCCATCGCTTTATTTTGAGACCATTAAAAATTATGAAGAAATGTCTTTTAGGCCACCGAGTCGTACATATTCCAGGACGGCCCGTCGCGATCTTCACGGAAAGCGGAATTTCATTATATGGAATTAACCACCAACTAAAGTTACACTCCATAAACATAATTCAATTTGGTAAATTTCTGAATTACTTACTTAAATATTCTTTATAGCATTTTTAATGTAATGAATTGGAAATGTATAATGATACAAAAACTTGTTACCTCATTCTTATATCACCTATTTTTAAAAACATTTTTATCTTATAAAAACATTTTTCATAAACTTCAGACCAGACATGTCAAAAATTCTGTCTTTTTTTTGAGATTGAAGACTGCACTCGATTCCTCTAAGACAGTTTGAAAATGCGCGCGCTTTCTTTATATATAATTTCAAGAGTAGCGCGAGCCTAGATGAGCCTTTATGTTTCTCTAAAAACAATTCAGTATAATTTATTTTTTTATTTAAACCTGGCCCGCCTACACGTTCTAATTCTAATATATGGCCCTCTGTTTTGAGTTTAACACCCCTGATGTTCAGTTTAAATTTTCATCACAGAATAAATTTTCAAATTATAATTGCGCTGCAATAAGGTATAAAGAAAAAACCTAAACAAATACATATTTACTGTGTGTTGAAAATATAATCTATTCATTAATTAGTTTTATACTGTAATTTTGATTGAAACAACCGATATTGAAATTCGGAACAGATATTATGCTCAGTATATGATGACGATTAATTAATATTTCGGTAGAAGCGCGTTATAGGGATGCGAAACGTGCATTAGACTGATGTAACACTGCCTACATTGGCAACCCTTTAATCTTGGTAGTTCTACCTGTTTAATACCTTGTTAATTATTATGTAAATGTCCCAAATATTCACTTAAGATATTCCAGTACTTCTTCTAAACTCGTTATTTTTCAATATTATCGTGTTACCTATTATGTTAACGTAGTAAAATAATAGTTTTTTTTTTCTATTAGATATGTTAATTTTATAATGCAAAGTGACTTCATAATCATATTTTTTGTAAATATCGTTACTTCTATTAGAACTGCTAAGTTTCTTACTCGTTCTTCTTATCGGACAAAAAACGTAGAACGAGTGGTAGGGAGAAAAACTCAAAAGTACTTAAAATAAATTTATTTGAATAGTGATATTTCGCCTTTACTATAAATAATGAGAGCAAAATACACCGCATTTCTGCCATTTCTATCAAAAACCAAACGCTTACGGCGAGGCGCGGCACGGGCGATGAAGATTATATTACGAAGCGGGTGTCGCCCGCTGATACTCGGGGAGTGGTGCCATAAACAAGCGCACAATGGTATCTCAAATCTGGCACGTGGGCGATTCTGGAGTAGCACCCACGCCCGCTTCGAGAACAACGCTTTGTACTCCCTTACCACTGGCTATCATGAATTAATATTCTGTCCTCATAAGTCAAAAATTGTATTTAAGAAAAATAATTTCCGATTTTTATTTCATCGAATCTAACATCACCAATGGAACAGTTTTTTTTTTACAAAGTAAGGAAAAACCTGGTGGTGAAATTTTTTTGAATTTGTATTACTTATACGTATTCTAAATTAACTTATTTTAATGGGATTTGATATTTTTCATAAAGAAAAGTATGTTTGTTCTTCCATAATTTATATTTAATAATTATATATAACATTCTTCATTTTATATCATTCTTAAAAGACCTATTTAAGTGTATTTGAATAGGTCTTTTAAGAATGATATACGTGGGATCAGAAGTAGCTCAGGGTAGCTCAATGAAATCTTGGGTGTAATTCTTCGAACTCTTGATTTTATTAGCAAATAATACACATCAAATCAAATCACTTATAAGCAAAACACGATCACGCGAATTCGAACACGGAAAAAGTAATAATTCGGCAAGCATTGACCATAAATCATCCGGAGAGTAAATCTACCTATAGTAATGCACAGACGTTACAGTACACACACAAATAAAATAATTAATACAGACAGTACACGTCAGTAAGACTACATTACATTCAAACAAAGCCATTACACTGAAATATAAAACCGAGTATACTATAAAAGATGTCATGTTAAGATTTTACATGCCCGCGCATGCGCCGTTCAAATAAAAGCACGATAAAGCTTTTATGTGGGCCATTTTCTGTGTGGCCGCCGACGCCTCCAGAGTTCCAAACTAATGTGACACTGCCACGTTGAAGAGGAACATAATGCAAGTCACAACACAGCCTGATATTAATTTTATTATTATTCTCTTCGATGTATAGTTAACTCGTATTGTTATTACTGATTGAATGGTATTTATAAATCAGTATAGAAACATTGATAGATTTCGTAGTAAAAGGAGTGTGATATCAATCAATGATGTTGTTTAAAACATTCTATCTCTATGAAAGTTTATAAACTATAACGCTTGAATACATAAATAAATCTCAAGGAAGTATACTTTACAAGAATGATATTAGGAATGTCTATAAACTTTTTAAATCTAAAGATTTTTTTGATGAATCGATCATTTATACCATATAAAAAGCGTAAATCACCAACTTATTTCTATTATTCATATACAGATGTTGAGTTTTGGAATGTCATGTCCTACTTTCACGTCATCGAGGGACTTCCTTAATCCCCCTAATGGCTTAAACGTTGAAATATGTGCGCGTTGTAAATGAACAACTAATGCAACAAGTGTGGGATAGGGAGGCCCTATAAGCACACGTGAGCTTACCCTCTAATAGGGGTGAACATTACTGCATATTATTGATAAATTATCAAATGAATTTATGTCTTACTATATGTTTATTCCTTTACAACAGTGAAACTTATGTGTCTTATTATCGTCATGACATTAAGTGGATATTTTTAACATATATTAGATAATAATAATTCATATTGTATTTAATTTTTATTTTGATTATTATGTTCGATACATTATAGCTAATTATTAGATACTAATTCCTCTACATCGATTCAAATACTACTTTCAAAATATATTTGGCAGCATTTTAAAAGACAATTGTATTGTTTTCCATATGCTGCTATTTGTAAGCTTGGCAAAGTTTATTCTTTCTTCAGATGAGAACCACTTTATATAAAAATAGTCTGAATATTTCTATTGAAAGCCATTAAATATTGTAAACACTTATAGATCAAAGACTTTCGAAAACTTACAGAATTTTGCCGTCTCTACATTAAATAAATATTACGTTATTTAATCGTGTATCAAAAATGGATATTTATTTAATCAGCCTAGTTCAACTACATATTACAATTACAAAATTTGAAAGCTTATTGTCCTTGTATCTTAACTTGAAAAACCTGACTTGCGTTTTGACATTTTAATATAGACCTAGACTAGAGCGAACATACTTTTAAAAATGTCTTTGACGCGAGAAATAATTAGCACTCTAGTTACTTTACACAATTAAATTTATTATAGAAAAAAAATATCACATATCTTCTTTTGAAAGAAAATCATATAAAAATAAGTACATCGATTATTTTGTTACGTTTATTACTATTATATTAATTAATGAATTGGATAACTAGCTATATATTCATAAAATAATAAACTTTAGACGTAAATCGTGATAACCCTAATGTCGCCTTCCTTACGTTATCGACGCGCGCTAAAACAAACATAAAAACAACACAAGACGTAGAAAAACCGCGCAAGGTATTAGTTTTTTTTATTACCAAACATTATACAAAAAATAAGGGAACGCGCGGGCGTTAACTGCATTCAATTTTTACAACCATAAAATATTATGTCTGAGTAATTATGTCTACTAATTAATATTCTGATTAATATAGAAACGTGTTAGATATTGCGACATAATACCTGTAATTTAACAAATTGTAATTAGTCATATAAAAAACAAAAGATAAACTAAGAGTACCCATTTGGGTACAAATATTCGATGAAGCCGAGGCAAATCCATTAAAGGAATAAAATACACTACGGTGATTACCATCGGAGGATTCAAATTGAGGCAATTCTCGGTCGTTCGAGCCATTACGAGGCAAATGACGCGCGCCGATACAGCCTAAAAGCTGCTAATGTATCTCTGATCACAGAGTCGTCCCTCAAAACGACACCCGTCTCTTTTTCACGCTATACTCGTACCAATCCTGTCTCTTTAACATTAAGCCGAAGAATTGTTATCTGAATGAAATCACGCACGATGACGTAATTGTGATCATACTGAATTTTTGTTAATCGACTTCAAAATCCAAAAGGAGAAGGTTATATGTTCGAATGCGATGTATGTTTTTTATGTATGTTTGCATAAAACCTTGTTTGCGAAACTTTAATTGTTTAAAAATATATACGCGAATAGTTTCGATCTAAATTATTAAAATAAGACGTTTACATTTTTACTATCCTGTTTTATAACCAGCAGTATTATGGACGATCACATATTCCACTTCAAAGCTTTTATTGCTCAGCTATTAAATTATAATCATTTCCCATGTTTGTGTTAATATTCAAAAGTAAAG